ATTTACTGTGAGAGACATGCTGACATGTTTGGTTCTTGGCAGAGCAAAGATTCCAGGCAACACGAAAACCGTGGACGGCATGGGAGCTCTTCAGACCTTGCAGTCCTCATGTTTTTCTGCAAATACAATTTTTGACAACAAAGGGTATTTTATTAGTATTTTCTATATTTAAAGGACCTAAGATCTGTAAACTGATTTCAAAACTCAATTCCTTCTCATAATAATTTTAAAGCCAATTTTTTCCCCCAGTGGCCATAGACTGAGATACAAACTGAAGTGGCCAAATACAATTTTCTCTGTATCATTTCTAAAATGAAATTAAATAGTTCTTTTTAAAGAGTGGGGGAAAAAAAGGAAGCAACTGACTGTCGTTGTGTTGATTTTGTATCCTACAACTTGGATCAATTTATTGGTTCTGACAGGTTTTTCTGTGGAGGCTTGAGGGTGTTCTACATATAATGCCATCTGAGAGCAGATATAATTTTATTTCTTTCTTTCCAAATTGGATGCCTTTTCTTTTTTTCTTGCCTAATTGCTCTGGCTAGGACTCGGTACTATGATGAACAGAAGTGGCCATAGTGAGCATCTTGGCCTTGTTCCTGATCTTAGAGGAAGACTCTCTCTCACCATTGAATCTATCAGCTATGGCACTTACGTTTCCATTATGTGGCCTCTATTATGGTGAGGTAATTCCCTTCTATTCCTAGTTTTTTATCATGAGAGTGTGTTGAGTTCCGTCAAATGCTTTTTTTGCATCAATTGAGATGATCATGGGATTTTTGTCCTTGATTCTATTACTGTATATATCACATGGTAGTTGACTTTCAAGGCTTGCTCCGATTGGGTTTGATTTTGTTGGTGAGAATAACTCACAGATGGAGTCTTTTGTCAGAAGGCACATGATGCTGAGTTTTCTTCCTTTGGGATACTAACAGCCGTTAAGCCTGCTACTTTGTACTTAGAATCATCATCTCATATTATAAAATGGAGATAATTCCAATTCCAGCAATCCTTTGTTTGGCAGAGGAATACTTGTATAAAAAAGTAACTTCCCTGGTGGAATCTACGCATATGATAAAACTGCATAGCACACACACACACTCACACAGTGTGTAAAATGTGTAATCTGAGCAAGGTCCATGGATTCTAAATGTCAGTTTCCTGGTTGCTGTCTCGTTCTTCAAGATATTACCACTAGGGGGAACTTGGGGCAGGCTACATGGGATCTTTCTGTATAATTTTTTGCAACTTCCTGCAAATCTGACTTAAAAAAAAATTAAAGAAACTTCCCTCATCTACTATTTGACTACCAGTTTAAGAAAGGTGGGATACATGCATAATTCTTTGCCTTTATATTTACTTATAATAATGAGTTGATGCCTTAGAATCTCCCATGACTAATTTTTAAAAAGTGTCATTATGACCTCATTGATTCCAGTATCTTTTAAGACTTTCAATACATTGCATTATTGTTATTGATGCTCAGATTCCCACCTGTGGTCAGGAGGAACCTCTTAAAGCTGGCTGCTGAATCCTGACATGACCCTGGAATCTTTGTCCTATCATCTGGTATGATAAGGTTCATCTTGTACATTTCCTGCTCAAGTCCTGGGATCAGACATTTCTCCGAGTCCCGGGTCCTTTTACTGCAAAATGACATTTGGAGACCACAGCCTGAGAGCTAGGGGTTCTCACTGCCGCTGGGTTGATCACTGTTTCTAGGTCTTTTCAGTGGGCAGAACTAGGAACAAATTTACAATTTTTAAAAAACAAAAATACATCATAAATTCATGCTTATATTTATAGTGACTCTATAGCATCTTACTATGCTGGTGGACAGTGCCTGTAATGGGGAATGTGGTGGGGACTTGATAATAGAGGGGAATGTAGTAACTGCCATGTTGCACATGTGAAACCTTCACAAGATTGTGTATCAGTGATACCTTAATTAAAAAAAAAATTCATGCATGTACTTTAAAATGCAGGGCCACAGGATTTTTACTTAACCTCATATATTTTTCCCCAAACTGAGAATCCTGGTTCTCAAGGACTCCAGGGAAGGCCCTACTCATTTTGATCTTATCATGATGAGACCGAATCCTGACTGGCACGAGGAGTCACAGGCTGGGATGGCCTTTGGAGAGCTTCTGTTATTTACCACATAGCTGGGGAGGAGGAGGAGCATTTGCAAGTTGGAACATGGGATTAACTCCTGGTTGCCGGCTACTGCTCAGAAACAGTCAGGTATGTAGGTGAAGCCAGAGTGTGTGGCTTCCAGTGAAGTTCCTCCCCTTCCCTCCCCTACCCCAGACGAGCCCTTGACCCTGTTGTTTACCCTTCCATCCTTTCTTCACACTTTCACAACACGTGCCTGCATCCCTAAGCACTGCTGTGCACAGCCCTGTTTTGCTCGATTTTATAGGTACTTTGCATGAAGTATTCATCTGCAGCCTGCTTCCCTCCTCCTGCCAACATTCCGACATTTATCCATGTTGATCCGTGCATTCTGGTCTCATTCCCTCACCCATCCATTCTCACTGCTGTGTACCATTCCCAGCACTGCTGTGCTGCAGTTTTCCCATTCTCCACTGAGAAACATTTAGCTTGTTTCCATTAATTTGGTATTACAAGTATTCTTGTAGGTGTGTCCTGATCCACAAGTGTGTGGGAATTTCTCTAGGGCAGGGGTGGGCAAGACTTTTTTGTAAATGGCCAGATAATGAATATTTCCAATTTTGGGAGCTAAGAGGAAAAAAAAATTACATACGTACTGTATAACAAAAAATACAAATTTCCATAGATTTTTATTTAAAGATTCAAATGCACTGAAATTTGAATTTCATATAATTTTCACCTCATAAGATCTTCTTTTGAATTTTTTTTCTCACAATTGGAAAACACTAAAAACCATTCCTAGCTCTGGGAGCAGAGCAGAAGGCAGGCTGGGTCTGGTCCTCAGGCAGCGGTTTGCCCATCCTTGCTCGCCGGGGCATAAACTGAGGAGAGGAATTGCTGGGCCGAGGGGTGACAGGCGTTGCCACACGCCCTTCGGAGTGACTTTCTTTAGGTGGGTGCCCGCCAGGGGACCGACCGGTCCTGTTCCCTGGAGCTCCTCACAGCGCATGAATCTCCGCTGAATGCTCTGCCCCTTTGCTTTCCGTTTCATTTGTAATCACGTTTTGAAAAGTGAAGATAACACGTTGTAAGTTCCTTATTACTGAAAAAATGTTCTTTATGAAATAGAAAATATATACAAACAACAAGATTTTTCAAGTTACCATAACTCTTCCACGCAGAACCAAAGTTAAAACCTGGCTCCCATCTTTCCAGATTTCTTCCTCTATGTTGTACACACACACACCATTGTTTTAAGAAGCTAATGCTATGTAGTTCGGGAGTCTGCGTGTCTCCCTTCATGAGGCTGTGTCAGGATTCTTCTGTGAGGGACACTTGGGGGTCACAGTGCCCCCAGCTACGTGTGTGGCCCGCCCCCGAAGCTTTCTGACGCCCAAGGAACATCCTTCCTTCCTGGCTTGTTTTCCCTGGCCCCGAGCGGTGTTTCCAGTAGTTGAGAAGGTGAATGGAAAATGCCTGGTTCTCTCACGGCAGGCGGCCCTCTCACTTATTACCAGGACTCCCTTATTCCCTGTGGGGAAGCTGGGGTTCCTATGGCCAGGATCCCCCCCCCCCGAACTTAAACCACCTGATGACGTCACTGGCCTGTTGCTGGGCTGCTGCTTCCACACCTTTAGGCAATGAGCTATTATTGCGCTATACAGAGCGCACGGCCCGGTGCAGAGGCAGAGACGCTAGTGCTCGACCTACAGCCGGAGAACAGGCCGGGTCATAAACCCTTTCACCCCAAAGAATGTTTTACTGTCAATTTCTTTGGTCACATTGAATCCATAGCGAACTTGCCTGGGGCTGAAACCCGTTGGCAAGACATTACCCCTCTCCCAGGACCTACTCTCCCTTATAACCAGGACTCCATTTTGCCCATGTCGGCACTCCATTTCCCAGCCTCCCTGGCAAGGCCTGGTTCCCTGAAATGAGTCGGCCTGTACTTGCCAGAGCCCCCATCACTCCAGTGCTACCTGTCATCCTGCCTGCAGTTTTATTATGGTGGAGAAATCTTTCTCTGAACCCAAAGGTGGGAAAGGGGAACTTGTGTGCCTCCCACCCAGCCTCTGCTCCCAACCAGTTCCCTGCCTGATGCCAGAGGCATTTGGGCATGTGGTTTGGCAGCCCGGGTATAAGTAGGTTCCTGGGTATAATTAATTCTTGCCCCTCTTTCACTGGAGCGGGGGAGGAAGGGGAAGGGAGAAGGGGTGGATGGGGATGAGTCACAGGGCTGGAAGGAACCAAGAGGTCCAGTCTGTGCCTCTCTGCCAGAAGGCCACGTGCCCGTGGTCACAGTGGGTTCTCTGCTTGCTTTTGCTTTATATCCTAGGTATTATTCTGTTCGCACTTGTTCCTATAAGCAGCTTTGGGAGCCTTTTGGAAATGCCAGGGGGTATAAATAAACTGATGCTCCAGAAGTTCCACAGATAATGCTACTACCTTCTCTCAGACTCCTGCAGCTGTGCGGGCAGAGCCCGGAGGACGGACTCACACATTCCTGGTTTCTCGGTCACGGAAAAGCCCGTCAGGGGCTGATGAGCACTCCCAGGTGGCCCAGACGGCCCAGCGAGCCCGGGGAAGATGGGTCCCTAGCACCTGTGAGGAAAAGCAGCTGGGGGCCAGCTGGAGGCTGGGCCCGTGCTGAGCCCTTCTGCTTGGCCGCAGGTGCTCCTCACAAAGGGGCACAGGTGTAGGAATCAGGCCCAGGCCTGCCTGATCCAAAGCCCACGCTCGTACCCACAAACCAGTGGGCTTCACTGTCAACACATCTGCTGCTGTCCCAGGGAGTTGGGTAGGTGGGGACACAGAGCCCAGTCTAGGAGTGGGTGGCCCATGCGTTTGCAAAGTCACCTGAACACAAACACAGAAACTGGCCCTGATTCAGCAGCAATCATTTTTATTCCTAAGGAAGTATCCAGTGACATTACTGTTTCCCATTCATTTCTGAATTATTTAAAGAGTCCGGTGAGGTGATGCAGGGGCCCCAGTACGGCAGCTACAGGTCCCGCCATCTCTCACTCATCCTCCCCCCCCTAATCTGAAGAAGAGAAACAAATCATTTCTCAGGAACCAGGGCGTGACAAATGACTCATTAACATGTGCAGGAGGACAAAAGAATACACCTTACTTTCCCAATGGTCCTTAAAACACATCAACAAGTGTATGTAAAAAAAAAAACCCTTCATACTTACAAAGAAAAGTACTCAAAAGAATGTAGGACTCTGATTAACCTTAAAAACAAATCAAATTCTGCAGGAGCTGTATTGGAGAAACCATTAAAGCCACTGAGGGAGTAGGAGCCTTCCTGGGCCTCTGGGCTGTGCAGGGTGGTGAGAGCAGGGCTGGGGCATCAAGGATGAGGGAGTGTCAAGACCACGTGGCTCTTCCATAAGGCTGACAAGCTCCCGGGAGCATGGGTCCCCCCCCGCACCCCCGCGACTGAAAGGTGACCTTTCTCTTTTGACCACCAATCCACACACGCCCTGTCCCATCTCAGCGTGCAGCTTTCTCACCTGAAGTCAGGCAGGGCTCCTGCAGAGCGGCCTGGGAGAAGCCCACCTCAAGGGTGAGAACAGCCAAGTATTTTTTCCCCTCAGGGATTATGTTCACTGGGGTGGAAAAGGGTGACAAATGGGGTGGGTCAGGGAAAATTAGAACATCTTTGTGGTTTTGTCACCTGGCCAATGACGATGAGGCCCCTGAATACCTGATTCCATTCGTATGAGAAAGGGCAGGAGCCTAAAAGGGAGCTAGTGCCGCCACTCACTCTCTTTAAGCCTTTACTCCGACTGGTGTTTTCATTTAAATGTACTGCCTGGGGCTTCGCAGCCTGGGTTTCTGGTGGAGCCACTCCTTAATGAATCTGGCTGCTGCATCAGAAATATTTCAGACTTTATTTCCTACCCACCAACCGGCATAAGAAACACAGCCGGCATTCTGGAGGGAATGCGGGAGGGATCGGGGGACCTTTTCTCCTTTCTTTGTATTTAAAGGCCGAATCAAAGGTAGATCGCAGCTGCGGAGAGATTCTTCCTCACACCTGAATCAAAGACCAGTTCTAAGCCAGAACCACCCCAAGCCCCGCCCTGCCTTTGACGGCCAGGACTTGGCTGAGGAAAAACCAGCGACCACCCTGACCTACCCTCACTCTTCCCACCGAAGCAGAAGTGGAATCCTGGCCATGGCCACCCCGAGGACTTTGCCGCATGTGTGGGCCACTGTGGGAATGTGAAACTAAGCCCTCACGAGGCCAAGTCTTTGTTTTGACATGGCTCTTTTGACGTGGGTTTTGGAGAAAAGGCTGCCCATTCACCAATCTTTGCACATTCTATTGTACACAAAGGAATCTGCAGGCAAACCGGGGCCTCCCTGGGTTGACCTGGATACTCAGGGGCTGCCAACACTGTGGGCCAGGCCCTGCCCCTTGGCCTCCTGTCGGCCAGGGCCTTGCCAACACTCCCACTGTGAAAAGGGGTGGCTGGCCTTGGGTTGGGGGGGGCTTTGGTTCTGTCCCTAGGCTGAGTGTCTGAACCCTAGACTGTAGCATTAAGCCACCTTCCTTTGGCCCGGGCCGGCCCGGCCCGGCCCAGCCCAGCCCAGCCCAGCCCGCACCAAACTTGATCTCTGGGGACCTAGGAAGAGTTCCTTTCCCTATAAAGCCTCACACCCTAAGCTGCAGGATGGTTGTTCCCAGAGATCCTACAAAGACAGGGCTACAGGGGGAACCTTGGGGTGTAGGGCTTACTGCATGGGTTCCCAGCTCCCCAAGACAGGCATGGCTCCTGAGTTCACTGGCTAACCAGCTGGCTCTCCCAAAGGCACTCACTGACGTCGTAGCGCTCACCTCCCCCTAAAGTATTACCTATTTTATACGCTAGTGCTCTCCTGTCCCAAGGCTTAGACCTAAAGAAAATAGGTGGGAAGTTAGTTACGCTGTATTACTTTTTTAATCTTTCAGGCATTTATTGCCCAAAATAATGTAATTATTAAGTATGCTAATGGTAGAAACCAGCACTTTTTGATTCTTAGGCAAAATTTGAAAAAAAGTTGGTGGATTTGAAAAAATGCACCAGAAAAATATATCTCTATGGGCTTCTGCCTGCTCCAAAGGTGACTAGACAAGACTGCTGAGGAGCATCAGTTACTCTTGTCCCCAAGGGGATGCTCTCCCAGGCTGCTACACCCGCACTCAGCCAGCAGGGGGCAGAAGAGGCTCATGGGAGATCCGGGCTGGTGCGGGTACCTGCCGGGAAAGATGCCCCTAAGCCCCCACATGCTTCTCCACTACAGCATCATTTCCAGGTCTCAGATAAAAGTGGGGCACCAGGCAGGACCTGCTGAGAAGGGGCAGTCTGAATTGAGAAGATCCTGTTTTCACTGCTTACTATGAACTCACAGCCAAAAAAAAAAAAATCTGGCAAATTACTGAGTTTGCAATACAATTTACACCTCTGAGATCAGACCCCGAATCTCAGGGTAGAAAGTAGGTTACTTGTGAGCTGGAGAATGAGAGAACAATCTGGTCTCACATTCGCAGCCACTCCCCCGGGTGCGGAAAAAAGGCCCCCCCCCCCCACGACTTTCTTGCTTTCCCACTGAAAGAAAATAGGAAATAACGGAGACCTGAGTCATGGATGGTAGTACTCCTCCAGTGGGAGTTAGGTGGGGTAAAATAATCCTGTTTGGCTCATATTATGGGGCTAAGGTGGGAGACTACAAAAAGAAAATGATAATCTTTTAGCTCTATTAAGTATAGATTTACTTTCATGCATAAAAAAGGATGCATGTGCTTCCTGCCCGACCGGCCTTACACTTAACACCGCTGGGGAAAGAAAAAGGGTTCGGGCAGGGGCCTGGCCTCAGGGGCTGGGCACAGAGTCCTGGAGATTCCAGGGCCAGCCCCTCCTGTCACCCAGCCATGCTGTCTGAGGCAGAAGAGATGGAAACTGGCTGCGTGCCCAGGGTCCATGCTGGTCTACTGTATCCCCGCAGAGAACCAAGGACATGCACATGATGAATTAAACTACCCAGAGGCTGCCGGGTCCCAAGGCTCTGGCTGGGACGCAGAGCCACATATGGGAATTGCCAACAGCCTGTAAATGGGAAAAGGCAAGCAGGTACGAGGCTCACTAGAGGGCAGGTGAGGAGCAGGTGCAGAAGTCAGTAACTCCACTTCATCTGGACGTGATTGGCAGCTCCTTGCCCTGAGGTGGCCATGGGGCCAGGACCATGGCGGTGGCAGGGCGTGTGCATGTGAGAGAGACAGTGTGCACACTGTTAGCGAGTCCTGGAGGCTGGCAGCCTGGGCATCGCAGGAGAGGCTCTGGGCGCAGCTGGCTCCAGGGTGCTGGAGTCCAGGGGAGGGGGGCGCGGAGGGGCACACAGCACTGCTGCTCAGGTCCCTGCTCCGGGGCTCTGGTGAGCTGGGACCCTGGCTTGGGGTAACTGGGACCCAAGACAGTAGAGAACTGGGAGAGGGAAAGAGGAAATGATGGCAAGCAGTGAGGGTGACAGCAGCTAGATTGTGGACAGACCCCCGAGTCCAGGAAAGGGGCCTCTGGACAACAAGGCCCCCTGGGTAGGGAACTGAGGTCAGGGAGGAGACTGCGAGGCTCTCACGACTGTGCAAGTTCATGAATTAAAACTGAATTCAAAAGCAGCAGGTGCTCCATCTCATAAACCCTGTCACGTCTAGCTTTTCCCTCCAGAGGGCGCTCTGACTCCACAGACTAGGCTCACTCACCCCACCGGAAAACCCGGGGTCGCAGCTTCTCACTGGGCTGGAGAGAGGATCCTGCAGCCTCCTGTTCAGTACCAGTGTAAACATTCACAGTATTCCCAGAGAGACGCTGCAGCTGCCTGCCACCCACGGAGACAGCCTGCGAGGTGCCAAGTGGAGGTAAAGAAGAGGGTCACTCTTAGGGAGTGAAAGCAACATGCCAAAGGGAGTGTGAGGTTTCCAAGATTTCTGAGCCTGCTAGGGGTTAGAATCGCTGCCGCTGAGGCCGGAGGCTGCTTGCCCTGCTAGTGCAGACAGCTGTTCCAGCAAGGGCGGCCCCTCCGCAGGCCCTCTTGGGGCAAGGCAGTGCCAGCAATGGCGGGAGTGGCACCAGGGCTCCCTGCACACCCGGTCAAGGCAGGCTCCACTGCAGGCTTCCTCCCCTCAGGTACCTGGCTGGACAGTGACTGTTCGCCCGGATGCAGAGGCAGAAGGAAAATTTACCTGGACAGGTAGTCCTTCCAATCTGCGGGCCGAGAAGCAACACTGAGAGCTTCTGAGGAGCCTGGTGAGGAGATGACATGTTTCAGAGGCAGCCAGGTGGCTCCAAAGGCCTAGGAGGTTTTGGGCTGAGAAGACTGTGGCCTTTGCTTCACCCTTTCATCTCCCCTGAAGAGGGTGCCATGAGCATGTGTCTCCAGGGGCCCATGCTGGGTGTCCATCCCGGGGGCCCTGGGGAGGCCAGCCGGCAGCGCTGCAGGCCGGCCTGCCCAGAAGCCATGGCGCCCTGTTCAGTCACAGCAGCTCCTGCTCATCGTCCTCGGAGCCGGAAGGGCCCTGGCGCACCTCCTCGTACCACTTGTTGGTGAGGGTTTTCATCTGGATGCGCCCGTGGTGGAGGTCCTGGGGAAGCAGACATAATCAAGCCCTTGTCAGGGGATTGGGGGCACAGTTGGGGCCAGGGAGCTGCTGTGTACCTCGTGTGGGGGCCACAGCAGGCAGAGTGCTTGGCCACGGGCAATTTCAGTGTTAAGAGATTAGCTCAAGCTGGGGTTTCTCTTTGTGGGGGTGGAGGTAACAGGAGCCGTCACTCAGAAATAAGAGTAGGAGGCAGGGCGGCGCGATGTTGAGATGCACGGCCTCTGGGATCGGACACACTCGGGCCTGCTCCCAGCTCTGCCACACACAGGGCATGTGACCTCGGGGGGGCACTTCGCCTCTCCGGGCCGCAGTCTCCTCAGCTGTCAAGTGAGGTAACTGCTGCATCACTGCGGGGGTTGTTGGGAATGAAATGACGCAAAAAGGTTTGACACAGGGCCTGGCTCACACTAAGAGCTCCACACCGAGAGCCATCATGACTGCTGCAGGGGGGAGGTGGGGCTCGGAAACCAAAGCAGGGCAACAGCCAGGAAGAGCCCCACCCGCACCCTGGAGGCCTGCATGGAGCAGGATGCCGGTTTCAGCAAAGCAGGCCCACGCTGGTCCCCGTGAGACTGTGTCACTGTCACCCACTAACTGTCCAGAGGGATGGAACAAGAGCCCTGAACCATGGGCCACTGCTGGATGTCCTGTCATATCAAACTCCTCAGCCTGGATTCAGCAGCTGATCAACGTCCCGGGTCTATTATCCAGGAAAACCAAACTGTGTTCACAAGTCTATTATTACACTGGCACTAAATATGGCAGCAAAGGAAAAACAGCAAATGCTGAATTCCACAGCACATGCAGCCTGCGAGCCTGGGGAGGAGGGAAAGCTGAGCGGAAGGAGGGGGTCTGGCACACCCTGCTGCCCAACATGGCACATGGGCCTTCACTGCCCACCCCGCCCGTGGCCCCTGCCAGTCCTGAGGGGAAGGCAAGGGGCCCCTGGCTGTGTGGCTCTGACTGGAGTCCCACCTCCTGCGTTAGCCGCCGCGTGAAAAAGGGGTTCAGATACTTGGCATCCAGCCACACGAAGCCTTTGAGATCCTGGCGCCGGATGTAGTGGGCTTCGTACTCCTCCTCGGTGAGCTCTGACAAGTGCTCCGACTCAACAGTGTTGCCCTGCATGGGGAGGGGGGGCAGCCAGAGGGTCATCAGCAGGCACCTTCCTGAAAACAGGACCACCCGGTGTCCCCTTCCCTCCCTGCACTTCCAAATCAGTGCAGGGTGTTGGTGGGCAGCAAAGGGCCTCTGGGGAGCCCGTAGGGAGGCAGGAGGGTTTGCAAAAACATGATGGCTGCCCAGGAGTAAATCAAATCGAGCATAAATTAGAAGCTGGCTAGAACTTGGGTCTGCAAAACTCTCTGGGTGATGTGCCCAGGACGGAGAATGGCTGTTGCAGGCTATCTCGCTCTGTGTGAATCATCAAGGGAGGCTCCTTTCTGCCTGCAGCCGCACTAGCTCTGGTTCCATTCTGGGCAGGTGTCAACGCAGAGGGGGAAGGGACAATCCTGGTGGGCATGGAGAGGCATGAAGAGACACTACAGGTGGCAGGGCAGGTCTGGAGGGGAGGCAGGTCTCAGGATCACGGATCTAGTCAGCCCAGCTCCCAACTCTGGGCCCAGGCCCAGAACAGCCCCACCCTCCCTGCAGGGACCACCAAAGGCCAACAAGATTCGAACAGTCTTTGCTGCTCTGCCAGAGTTGCTGCTCTCAAGCCCAGTCAACTGGGCCTCCCCTGGAGTCTGCAGTGGTGCAGGTGCAAGGGGCGGGAGAAAGTGAGGACGGGGGGATGAATCCACAAGAGGCTGGGCCCGCTCAGCCCTCCATCCAGCACAGCTCCCACTAAGGAGGTCTGGGGTGGGGCCCGGGAATTGACATTTCTAACAAGCCCCCAGTGATGCTGCTCCAGGTTCCCCATCTTGAGGCCCACTGAGGAGAGAGTGGTGGCTAAGAGTGCAGGCTGTGGAGTCTGTGTGACCTGGCTTCTCTGTGCCTCGACGCTCTCCTCTGCAACAGGGATACCAATAGCATCTGCTTCCTGCAGGTTACTGGGGCGACTGAGACAGTCCAGAGAACGTAACACAGTGCGGGCGCCACAAACAACACACCCTGGCGGCAGCTGTTCTTCCTCTGGGCAAACATCCTAGTTCTTCCGGAGGGGCGCTTAGCCAGGTGTGGAGGTAGGAGCAGCGGTGACAACAGCACCTGGCAGCTTGTCAGAAGTGAAATTCCTTCTGGCCCTACCCCAGACCATTAGGGCCTTGGAGCCCAGAACCCATTCTGATATGGCTAAAATGTTTGAGGACATACACTAACTAGAGCTTTTGTTAAAAACAGACAAGAAAGTTGGTGGACGGGGCAGGGTGGAGTAGACCAGAGTGAGAAAGTCCTGCCGAGCCCAGCCCAGCCCAGCCCAGCCCAAGTGAAGGTCTCCTGGCAGGGCTGAGAGGCCCACATGGAGACTAGAGGCCAAGATTTGCCCAGACCTGGACTCTCTAGTGTGAGAAGTGGGCCATGTCCCCTTTTTCCGTCCCTTGGTTGAGGATTTCTGTGCTTTCTACTACTGATTAAAGTTACTGATGGCCTCGAATAAGAGAACCAGAGAAAGATGCACTTCCAAAAATGTGCATGTGCAGGGGTACAGGAAGGTGGGTGGAGAGGCCAGGGTGGCCTCTGCTCCTGTCAGACGGCCTGGCTCAGCCCATGGAGTGGAGGGTGAACCCGGGGCAAGCACAGCATGACCATGGCTGACAGGGGCAGCCATCGGGGCAGGAGGGGGGCGTGGAGGCCTCAGGCTCACTGCAGCTGGGCCCCGGGCCCCTCCAGCCCCAAACCATGCCCCCATTTATCCTCAGTGGGAGGCACCTCTCCATGTCCTGAGGCCCCCACATCCACGTTGAGGAAATGATGTGATCTGGAAACCTTCCTGTCCTGGGCCCTGGGGGCTGGTATGCTTCTGGCAGGGGAGGAGCGCTGCTGGGAGAGTCTGGTACAGGTCTGTGCTCCAACTCCACAGCCTCCATTGGCATCACTGGGCCATGAGGCTGGCAGACAACTCACCTCAGAGCCACACTTCAGAGCATGAGGGCAACCTCCTGTGCGTGGGTACTGGGCATCCTCCACTTGGTCTCCCTTCCCATTTCCTGGCAGGAAGTGGGGGCCCACCCTCTGCCCAGCCCTGGCCCATCGGGCACTAACCATCTTCTCTGTCTTGCTGAGGTTGATGTCCTTCTTGTTCCTGCGGCGTGCCTTGGCATCCTCAATGTCCATGAGGCGGATGAGGGGCATGGCGCTGCCGCCCAGCAACAGGATGGTGAAGAGCACGATGATGATCGTGGTGGTGCCAATGAGCTGCCGCTTCTCCATGGGCTCCAGGTCCAGGTGCAGGCTCAGGGCATAAGGGATAGCCCCCCGCAGGCCTGGGGGGCAGTGGGCAGTGTAAGAGGAGGGGAGAGGGAAGAGGTGGTGGTATCACTGACCTGGTTCTCTGGGGACCTGGGCACCTCCCAGCATCGTGGCCAGTGGAACAGTCTGAGACCTCCCTGGAGAGTGAAGACTCATCTAGGAGGCTCTGGGGTGCAAGAAATGCAGGCTGCAGAGAAGTGGGGCCTAGGCAGAAGCTCACACCTGTTCCCACTTCACAGGGTGGTTGAGCAGATTAGATGACGTGATCTGTTCAGGCTATGAAGCAGCCAGTGCTTGTGTGTGAGGATTTATCGATGCTCACATTTCAGAAATACGACATCGGGTGTGGACCCAGCCTTCCATGTGTGCGCCAGGCCCTACGCTAAGTGCTCTGTGGGCATAATCTCATTTACTCTTCACAGGAAACCCAGTACAGCAGGTCCTATTATTCTCTACAATATACAGATGAGGAAGCAAGAATGAGAGAATGAAGTGACCTCTCAGGGCCACAAGCTTTATAGGCAACAGCACAGAATGCAGTCCAACGCCCCCTGAGCCTAAAGATGCTGCCCTGCATAGCTCCTGGCACCCCTAAAGGCTCGGAGCTGCCCTGCTGGCAACCTAGGGCTGCTGGGAACTACACCATGGCTTCTTCCTTAGTTCCTGGGTTGGTCCCTCGTGATGCTGCTGGCTGGGCTGGGGGGCTGGGCTGAGCTGGGAAACTACACTTTTTAAGGAACTTCCTGGCTTGCCTAGGTGCCGTACAGAGGGGAAGAGGCAGTCCTGCCCTGCCTCAGGAGCTCCCAGACAGGGTAGGGAGGAGAGACCCCTGTGAGATGGTGAGAGCCGAAGGAGAAGGGAGAAGGGCGGAGCACACAGTGACGGGGTCTGCCCAGACCCGGAGGCTGGGGCATCACAGCAGGATGGGGCTCTGAGCACTGTGGCACTCCCGACCTGAGATGAGGGCACAGCGGGGAGGAGAGAAGGGGATGGACTTAATAGATATGTGGGGAGTGGAAACACCACGTCCCAGGGGTGAACGGGAGGTGGGGTGGCCAGGAAGATCAGAGAGGACACCCAGCTCTCCAGTGGGTGGGGGTTCCTAGAGGATGTGCCGCACAATGGTCCAGGCATGAGGTCGGGCGTCTGGCTCCTGGCACCCCTGTGCCCCCTGCTTCCTCCTGTCACATTCCACTTCTCCACCTGTCACAAGGGACTAGAAACAGGGCTTGCCAGGATGAAATGCCTCAGCACTGATCAGCACGTGCACAGAGCAGACACTAAGTAGGCCACACCTTGGCTGAAATGCACAATTTTGTTTTCTGTGGAAGGGATACCGACAAAGAAGCAGGTTGGGAAGAAGATAGAATTCAGTCCTAGACAGTCAGATGGTAATGTCTCCAGGACATCCAAGGAGGACTTGTGCAGGGGTACAGGAAGGTGGGTGGAGAGGCCCTCAGAGGCAGCAGCTCTGGGAGTGCGGGCACTCGCTGGAAGGCGAGGCCACAAGACAGGTGAGTGTGTGAGAACACAAGAACAGAAGTGGGTCTGGGGATGAGTCCTGAGGGAGCCAATACCTGAGGCATCAGGAGAGGAGGAGGGGAAGTCAGATGAGACCTCAAAAGGGAGAGGAGGGAAACGGGAGCATGGCCTGGAGGCCAAGGGCGAGCGGGGAAGAGGATCTCCAGTCAGGAGGCAGGTGGGCGGGACGAGGACTGACCAGTGCCCACCAGTTCTGGCTGCAGGAGGCTGCTGGTGACCTGCGCAAGGCCTGGTCCAGCCCCGCGGACAGGCGAGGCAGTAGAGAAAACGGGCGGGGACAGCCTGCTCGAAGAGGCCTGGCCTTGACGGGAGGCGACGGGGAGGCAGCTGAGGGGATGTGGGGCAGAGATTCCGGCTGAGGGTGTGGGTGTTTCTGCTGGGCAAGAGGACACTCTTTGACTGTTTGAGTGATGGTGGGAGAAGCCAACCGAGACAGAGACTGAGGACACAGGAAAGAGAGGGTGCGGAGAAATGGAGAGAGGACTTGGGGTGGCCTGGGTGAGGACACCGGCCCCAGTGGGACAGGCGGCCCACATAACCCCTCGAGGTCTCTTATCATGCCTCCTTGACCAAACGGCTCACGTAACTATAAAATACCTGGTATATTTCTTAGATTATTAAGACCTTGGATCAACTACTTCACAAATTTTCATTTTCTCATTTGGCAAAAAAGGTTGAGAAAAAAATTTATCTCACTATATATACAGACACACATATATATATATATATAATGTATATATTTTAAACTAGGTCTTTTGAAAGAGAAGAGAAATCTGTGAGAAATTTACATATATGCTGTTGGATACAAAACAGCTAATAAAAGCATGTTGCTATACCCCGGCCCACATGGAAAGTATAAAGAACTGGATTTATTGCCCCAGAATAAACTTAAAGGTGCCTAAGAATCCAATTCTTTAGGATGCAAAGATGAAATACTTTCCATCCTTTAAAAAATAGAGGAATATGACTGAAACAGCAACTCAAAAGTTCAAATAAACTATCAGGACTTAGTGACTGAGAGAAAAAATATCCAAATCTAGCCTTTGGTACAAAAAAGTGCAACCTTTTTTATTTGAGCCCCTTATTAAGTCACATGGGTGATAGCTGAGTACACCAGGCACAGCTTGCCCTGGGCTGCCCTGGCTGCCAAGGACAGAGAGTGGCTGGAAGGAGAGGAAACCCTGGCTCTGTCTCCTGCGGCTACACGATCCCAAGCGAGTCCTCTGCCCTTGGGCCCGAGTTTCCTCATCTGTAGAGGAGACACACAGCACCCATTTCTTTCAGTGCTGTGGTGTGAGTGGTACTCTCCATTACGGGCCTCACCCAGGGCCTGGATTAGAGCACATGCCCATTAAATGGGAGCTTGTGTTCTTTCTGGCTTAGGAGGCGCATCCTCCTGTTTAAAGGGCTCTAGCAGACAGCCACATGCTCGCTCTGTACAGTGCATGTCTTTATAACAGGTATTTCCCCTTCACTGTTCATTCAAGATTAGACTTACCACTAAACCACATGATGAACATCATCTTCGGGGTGATTTTATGATCACGGAAGAAATTCAGGAGGTAGGAAAGCGGGAAAATGTTCACAGCTCTGCCAAACAGTACAAGCACCTGTTAATAGCAACAAATCAGGTCTTAGACAGGAGCCTCTGGTTCTAAGCTGAAGCTTGGTGCGGTGAATGCAGCCCCCGGAACACACCCATTACAAATGTGGCATTTCCCGCAGTCACAGATGACGTAACACCATGCTAGTCAGAGGCCCGGCCGGGGTGTGTTGCCACAGATGCCAGTTTCTGTGTATCTGGGAAAGGACACAGCTTCGTACGCTGCTTTCACAGTCAAAGAGGACTAACAAGGTATCTATGACAACCTTAGTCATGATGGCAGAACAAAACCGAATGCCAAGAGGCTGAAATATCGAGAGATTAATTTAAGGGCAATCTACCTCCTCCATAGGTGCTCCACTGCGGGACAGGCCTGTGCTAATCCTTCCCACAGGGCTAGTTCTGGAGGGATGGGCAGGGTGTTCCTGCCTCTCCTGTGGGCGCCCCACTCCTCAGGGAAGGAGGGAGACTGAGAAGGGCTGCCCCTGCTCCTAAGCGCTGCTCTCTAGGCAAAACGAACGTGCAGGCGGGCTCTCAACGGAGGGCACCCGCGCCCTGCCTGGTCCGTTGCTTGTCAGGGCTTTTGGTTCTTAACTATCGCCAAAAGCAGGTTGGTCTTAACCAAATACAGCTTCAGTGTAAGGTTTAAATCTTACCTAAGTGGATACTTAGAACTTATTTACTTTCTTTTCTTCCCCTCTTTGTTCTCATGATCACTACCGTGAAAAGACTAATATACACCTGTACATTCTGCAGACTCCAAATTTCTTCTTGAAGCACAAGTTGACTGTGCTTTGGATCATGACCTTGGATGGTCAAGTTAGCGATAATGGCTCCAAATCATCTAACATTTATATGCCAGACAATGTGCTAAGCATTCTATATGCATCACCTTGTTAAATTTAGATCCCTATAGTGGTTGTATGAATGGGGATTAATGTCTGCATTTTAGAGACAAGGAAATGGAGACACAGATTAAGTAACTAGTCCAAGCTGACCTAGGTAGGAAGTGGTGGAGCCAAGTCCCGAGCCTGGGTCAGTCCCCAAAGTCCATGCCCTTGACCACAGATATGGCATTCTATCTGAATAGCACAGGCCACCTCCAGCAGAGGCAGGGCCAGCCTATATACCCAGGGGAAAACTGAGTCACTCAAGGGCACCTTCTCATTTTCTTTTTCCTCCCAACCCATGGCTAAGAGAGTCCCCTCCCTGTCTTACCCACCGAAATCCAACCTTACATTCCTACACTATGTTTTAGGTTTAGCCAAATGTGGCCTCTTTTATCCAGCGATCATACTAAAGTCTATTATACTTTCTGTAGAAGACTTGCTGCTCCTCTCTGGTCCTGAAACCTGAGTTTGGAGCACAGATAACAGCGACAAAAGCGATAAGCTCTTGCTGACTGAGGGTGGAAGCACCCAGATTGCAAGGAGAAACATCTTTTTCTCCTTAGGGTGCTTTATCTTCTCTGTGTTTCAGTTTCCCATATATCAAACAGGTAGGCTCCCTGGTGAGCACATGGTAGGTGATGGTGCTAAAAAAGACTGCCTCTTAATGGCTGGGTTTTGTTTAGTGGAGTTGGTAATAAAAGTTAACTGAAGATGAGTTATAATGCAACAACAGGTGTGCTTTAGTGCCTTAAATTCACAGAAAACCTAAAAAGACAACAAAGAGATCAAGTTAGGGATTAAACCATGAATCAGCAAGAGGGCTCACAGGAGACGAGCTCACACTGAGGGAAGAGACACCCGGAAGAACCCAGACAAGGGATGTGGGAACACCGGCTAATTGCCCAAACATTAGAAGCCATTTATGTCACTTTGATTAGATGCCTGAAAAAGCTGGACCTTTCTTTTAAATGCTAAATGTTTATTTTCTCTCTACTCCATTCCCAAAAAGGGATTTGATTCTATTGCAAATGTTTAAACTTCTATATTTTCCTTTTTTAAAAGCATATTTTAATTGGTATCCTACTGCCACCCCCAGTCCAATTTTAAGTTTTCCCAAACCTTCTTGAGGGAAAGAATCAGATGGATGATTCCCTCAGATGACTCTCCGGGGGAGGTAAGGACCTGGCAATCTTTACTTTAAACAAATGTACAGGTGATACTTAGAAATGGACATAATTGAAGAAAACCACAGTAAGAAGAGATTATACACATTATAAATTATCCAGGAAAAAGAAAAAAAAATTACACACAGTTCTGTGAACATTTGGCTGTATTTTCTTTATATCTTTTCCTTTTTTCTATACATAATGTTTTTACATGGTTATGATTAATTACATATTCAATTCTGAAATCTGCTTTTACCACCTAACATAAAAAATATAAACATGTACTTTTTAAAGAGAAGTGTAACATTCAAGGCCAGGTAAAATTTAAAAAGAAGCAAAAATCCTTTTCCAGGGATATTCATTCACTTCATTCTATCCCTTTCCCCTTGATTGTATGTTTGTGATTTTTTTGACAAAAACTTTAAACAGAGGGGTGTCTATGTAGCTGTTGACTCTGAACAGTTAACGGTTACATAAATGAATCCAGAACATGTGGCTACTTATTTACAAATAAGTAATTAAATAAAAAACAAGGAAAATACTTACTATGCACCAGATGACAAAGGAAAGTTCAAACTTGTGAGGGAAACTAAAAATGGACAGGCCAAGAAATGCAAACACACATGTTTCTGAAACAAACCAAAGAATGGATTATTCAGCCCCAACTATTTTTTTCTCATCTAACATTGAATTTTTAAACAAACATTCAGAAGTAAGTCAGAATCCAATATAATACCTTGCTTGTTTTCTGGAAAATCTTGCTACCAATACCTTGGTGAAATTTGAACTTTGATTCTCTCTCATTCTTTTCTATCACATAAAACAACATTCAGAATCTCCTAAATTGATGAGTGAACTGTCAAATACTCATGCAAATAAATACTCTCTCACACAGGGCAGATGATATATGAAGCTGCCCCTTTGCTGAACACTGTGTTTAGAGAGGATCCCAACTGCGGCAAAGCGGCAAGAATCCTGAGCAAATGACTGCAGCAAATTCCGGCCACGTGACCACGGTGAAAGAGCCCTTTGTTGACTTCCTTGCCCGAGTAGACAAAGCCAATTCACTGACTTGACCAATGTGATACCCCGCCAAAGTTTAGAAGACAGGGCTTCCTCCCTGCAGGATTTGCAAGAAGAGAGACATTTCCAACTCTTGGCCCCACTCCACAAGTCAAAAGAGAGTCTGACATTTACTCTTGCTCTGTACAGGCAGTCACTGTGTATCCTAAGAAAAAGAACTTTACAAATTTCTAAATGTTCAGCTCCCTGCTTCAACTGTTTGACGTCCCCCAGGACAGCCTTATAACCAGAGAGACAAAGACTGTATTTTATGAGTTGAACATCATAAAACAGCGAGGCTGTTCTAAAAACATTTCAGCAATGTGTTTTCTCCAAACAAATATACATACATCCTTTTAAAACAAGTTCACAAGCTATATACTTATCCTTTCTTCCTTGAATCTTTTAAAATCTATTTTTGTGATCTTTCCGACTCAGCTGATTTAGAACATATTTGGATCTATGTTACGTTTTTCTCCGGCAGCATAAATTCTATTACATGGATATGTCATGCCTAATTTAACAAAGCCTGTTGATGGACATTTAGACTTTCTCATACTACACGCTACGACAAACATCCCTGTACACTGGCTAAATTCCTGACAGTACCATTGCTGGGTCAAAAAGCACATGCCTGTGAAATTCAGATGGCTCTACGATGACTCTGCACAGAGATGGCATTGATGCCCATGCCCGCCAGAGGGTCTTTTTATATACCCATGTCGGTAGTGGGTATAGCAAACTTAAGATGTGCCAATCTGATGGGTACAAAAGATAATCTGATGGATGTTTTGCTTTATATTCCTTTGATTGTGAGACTCAGGGTCAGAGTCTTTAGTTATGGCTTTGTGAGGGGCTGCTGTGGAAAAACTACCCACTGGACCAGGAAGACACAGACCTGGCTTTCAGACTCGTGTCTTAGCTAAGAGACTGTGGGCAAGTCATATGACCTCATGGCCCCTGAGTCTTCTTGTCTGTGGAATGAAGAATCCACACGGCCTGCCCTGACTCCTGGCACATGACTGAGGGAACTGGTGCTTCAGAATGAGAGCGCTCCACCAACGCCAGGGGAGATGGGGATAGGGCACAGCCACTGGGGGTGGGGAGCAGCATAAAGGGACAGTGTTGAGAGCTGTTCCTTCACTCCCAGTTATAAACTGGGGGGGAGGTGTGTGGGTACATCAGTGTGGGGATGAGTTCAGATGGAAACTGCCTAAAACATTAATCCTTGTGTACCCCAGCCCAATAATGACATCTCTAATGCAAAACCTCCCCAAGTTCTGTCCTTCAAGATGCTCCTGTGAACAAAGGGTCCTGTGGACAACTTTGGGAAATGCTATAACTATTCCTCTTAGAAATTCACAACACACATTAGCTGAGTCTTGTGGATCAGAAACTTTATCTCAGGATTTTCCAAACTCTTTTTTGACTATGGAGCTTTTTTTCACATAATCCTCATCGAGATCAGTTCCAAGGAATGTATTTTTGGAAACGTCATTTTAATGCATTAAACATGCATGAATCGCTAATGTTCATCATAATTGATAGTTCTCATTATTTTTGGTCTTAAAATTGCAGCCATCAAATGTTCCACTTACTAGGTATTAGGTTTACTTTACAGAATTTGAAAGCCAGAGAGACAAGATAAGGAAGTGCAGTAGGCTCGTAGGAGTTCTCCTGCCTCTTCCGCCAGGGAAGATCTCAGCTGACTCCTAAAAGCGGGCAAGGCAGGACAGTCAGCTCTGGGTAGGCCTGGGAGGGACCACACAGAGGCGGAACTCACCGCACAGGAAGGCCACGGTCCGGAGGGTTTGCTGCATGAGGATCTGGGTGACCGGTGACAGGTTATGGTGCGTGTAGTGAGACATCACGATGCCTGAGAACAGGATGGCCATGATGCCTAGAGGCGGACGAAGGGGCAGAGTGCAGACATGAGCAGAGCAGACAAGCACCTGCCATGTGATATACAAATATCTCATGCTTTCTACAAGTCTCTTGAGCCTATTACATTGGGTATCTTAAGAAAAAGGAGAAAGTAATACTCAAGGGTTCCCAGCGGCTGCACAGAAATGCTACAAGCACCTTCTCTCCAGCAGGTTCATTACCAGCTGGGTGACACTGGCCAAGTTCCTCTCCCCCTCTGAGCCCGTTTTCTCATCTGTACAGTAGAACTAATACTACTCACTCATGGAACTGTTAGGAGGGTAATGAGGATAAGCCATTTAAAGTGCCCATCACAGGACCCTGCTGACAGGTGTGAGCTGTCACTGTCATCCATGGAAATAAAGGGGGCGGGTGAACCACTCTTGGGCAGAAAGGGAACATGAGAATCTGGGTATGAAAATGGGTGGATTTTGATTTACATTTTTATACTTTTCCTTAGTTTTAAATTTTCCCTTTATCACCATGAATTACTTGTATAATATAGAAAGAAACATGTGCTACTATGTTGATGGATAGTGACTGTAATGGGGTATGTGGAGGGGATTTGATAATAGGGGGACTTTAGTAAACAATGTTGTTCAAGTAATTGTACATTAACGATACCAAAATTAAATTAAATTAAAAAAGAAAGAAAGAAAGATGTGTTATTAGAAAAGGGAGTGTGTCTTTTCCTTACAGCGCTCCAGGAGAGGGTCTACAACTACTAGGTATTAGGTTTACTTTACAGAATTTGAAAGCCAGAGAGACAAGATAAGGAAGTGCAGTAGGCTCGTAGGAGTTCTCCTGCCTCTTCCGCCAGGGAAGATCTCAGCTGACTCCTAAAAGCGGGCAAGGCAGGACAGTCAGCTCTGGGTAGGCCTGGGAGGGACCACACAGAGGCGGAACTCACCGCACAGGAAGGCCACGGTCCGGAGGGTTTGCTGCATGAGGATCTGGGTGACCGGTGACAGGTTATGGTGCGTGTAGTGAGACATCACGATGCCTGAGAACAGGATGGCCATGATGCCTAGAGGCGGACGAAGGGGCAGAGTGCAGACATGAGCAGAGCAGACAAGCACCTGCCATGTGATATACAAATATCTCATGCTTTCTACAAGTCTCTTGAGCCTATTACATTGGGTATCTTAAGAAAAAGGAGAAAGTAATACTCAAGGGTTCCCAGCGGCTGCACAGAAATGCTACAAGCACCTTCTCTCCAGCAGGTTCATTACCAGCTGGGTGACACTGGCCAAGTTCCTCTCCCCCTCTGAGCCCGTTTTCTCATCTGTACAGTAGAACTAATACTACTCACTCATGGAACTGTTAGGAGGGTAATGAGGATAAGCCATTTAAAGTGCCCATCACAGGACCCTGCTGACAGGTGTGAGCTGTCACTGTCATCCATGGAAATAAAGGGGGCGGGTGAACCACTCTTGGGCAGAAAGGGAACATGAGAATCTGGGTATGAAAATGGGTGGATTTTGATTTACATTTTTATACTTTTCCTTAGTTTTAAATTTTCCCTTTATCACCATGAATTACTTGTATAATATAGAAAGAAACATGTGCTACTATGTTGATGGATAGTGACTGTAATGGGGTTTTGATAATAGGGGGACTTTAGTAAACAATGTTGTTCAAGTAATTGTACATTAACGATACCAAAATTAAATTAAATTAAAAAAGAAAGAAAGAAAGATGTGTTATTAGAAAAGGGAGTGTGTCTTTTCCTTACAGCGCTCCAGGAGAGGGTCTACAACTCCCCTTCTTACTCAAGATTTGGGCCTCAGCATTTGTCCACGGCCCTTCATCCCTCCCGAGGCACCTTACACTGCTTTCCTCTCGTGGTCCCTCCCGGTCTTGGCAGCTGCAAACGGGTCTCTGTTTCATGTAGGAAGCTGAGGTTTCTCACAAAGTCATTAAATGAGTTGCCAAAATACATGAATTTTAAGTCAAACTTCCTCAGCAAAAATTTCACTCACTTCTGCCACTCTGTAGGAACAGGGATTACTGGCTAACTTTCCATTTATAAAAGAGTGAAAATCATAGAACTGCATCAAAGACATTACAGTTGCTAAGCCTGCTGTGTAAGCGATGCCCTAACAGGTACAGGAAAGCCCGGCTCTGTGTTGCCCAACAGTGACAGCAGTAGCTGTAACACGTTATCTCCTCGCCCCCTTAGGAAACAGGGAATTCCTTTGCTCTTTTCCCTGCCAAGGCGGCTAGATAGGGAAATTCCAGCAATGCCTCCCACAGGCACACCTGACAGAATGGGAGAAGGGACAGGAGGTCAATAGGGAGAATTTGTTTTTTATGGGAAATTTCCCAACTTTTGATGACAGCAACCAATTCAAATGTTTAAGTTTTCGGTAGAGATAAACAAATCCCATCTGGGGGCTAAATTTGGACCACATAACAAAAGGCCCTTTGGCCAGTGAAAGGGTGATCAGCCAGCCACCAACTCTGCCCTGGGCTAGTCTGGGGTGGGGTATCTCTCTAGTTCTGGGGCTTAAGTAAGAGTCTGAGTCAGCAGTGGGTGCAAAAGGCTGGTGTCTGCCCTACATGCCCTCCCTGAGCAAAGGGGGGCTCTCCACTCCCCAGACCACCCTCAGCCACAGCAGCCTCCACCTCACAGGCGGGAAAAACACCAAAGGGGTGCCTGGTGCACACAGGCTCCTTTCTAGAGATAAAGGCATTTTTTAAAAATTCCCTGTAAGGAAGAATTCCTGGCACAGGTACTTCTTTTAGAATGCAAAATCATTTAAGGAAGTAGACAACAGTGCTGCAAAATGGTCATCTTCTTGGAAAGAAAGAAGAAAAGAAGGGAGGGAGGGAGGGAGGAAATCCACATCTAGTCTTAAATGTAATAAAGAGTAATACTGTTTTAAATGTAATAATGAATAACACTGACGAAAGGGATTCAAGCTCAAAAGGCAGAAGCTGAAAGGGTGTCATACCATGGTACAATTCCCACTGTACTATATACCTCCTGTGGGCCAAACATGATGTACTTCTTGAAGGCTGACCCAAATGAGTTTTCTTGGTTAATTAACCCCCAAAATAAACGTAGAAAACATCCAGACTTAGAGGTAGAGAGTAAAACAAGAGAATCTCCATTCACACTGCCTGCCCAGAGGTAACTATTCTTTAACAGTTCAACATGCAGATTGCCAATATTCTTTACTATGTCATTATAAAGTTTATCTTTATAAAAAAAACCAGAATATATTACATATATGCCATGTATTATCAGCAGAGTGATGTTTTAAAAGGAGTTCGATGCTTACTTCTCTTTGCACGTGTTAACAGAACCCCGACTCTTTCCCGGGCCTGGCCTCCTGAACCCTGTGACGGGGTCCTTGCCCCTCTGTCCCAGCCGCCGTGGTCCCCTTGCTCTTCCTGGAGTGGGCCAGCTTCCCTCACTCCTCTCTGGGACCCTTTGCACCTCTGTTGCTGCTGCTGAATGCTCCTTCCCCAGAACCTCCGTGGCAGGCTCCTTCTCACAGGTCTCAGAGCTGGTGCCACCTCTTTGGGAACTCCCTGCCCCCATCTCGTAACGCCTCCGCCCCGGTGCCACTCTCTGAATTACTGATTTCTTCAGATCATTTCTCTACCTGAAGTTATTTACTACCTGACATTTGGTTACGTGTTTTCTTAGTTGCTTGTCTTTCTTCCACAGGCAGGACCTGACCTCGTCTCGTTTGCTACTGTAGCCCCAGTACCCAGGACAGTTCTTGGCACAGGGTTGGTATTTAATGACTATGTATTGAATGGAGGAATGAGTAGTTTGTCAACTTTGTTATTAAAATTAAACAATATATCTTGGAGTTCCTTCAAATAGGTCAAATACTTTTTTAAGTGGCTGCATACTATCCCATAGTGAAAATGGGCCTAAATGTACTTAATCTTTACCATTATTGATAAGCATTTAGCTGCTCTCAATTTTTCTCAAGGTGGTACTGCAAGCTTCCTGGCTATACAGCTGTGCACGTTGAGTGCTGTTCAATGCATTCTATCCTTAACCAACTTCTCCCTAACGTTTTATGGCAAATGTTAAGTCCTGAACCTGCAAACTCATCCTTTAATCCTCTGTGTTCACCTTCTGTGATTCACTGTGACAGAGTGTCACTGTCCCAATCTACCCACCTCAGCCCAGAGCTGGCTAAACTGGCAAGGGCAGGGTCTATTCACCTTTGAATCTTTAGAGCCAGATGGCATAATGGCTCTCAACTGGCTTGAATGAAGAATAGAAATAGTTAATATTGATAGAATTAGAACAAAGATTCTAAGAACAGCTAACATTTACTGAGTCATCATTAGGGCAACTATTTAATCTGCTTTTGAAAGCAGGACATTTTTGAGAGTGAAAGGGAGTGTTTGTTATTAATTCATCATGTTGGGATAAAAGGGGAAAATTGGAGGTGTCGGGGACAACCAGGATGTAAGGCCACCCTAGTAACCATACACATGAATGCCTCTGTCAGGACTCCTACTTGCATCATACCCTTTAATCCTTACTTCGAGCCTTAGGGTGGCCTTTTTAATACGTCTACTTCACGATGAGGAAGTAGATGCTCAGAGTGGTTACGTCTGCTGTCCAAGGTTACAGAGCTAACAAGAGGTGGCACTGGGATTCGAGCCCAGGAGTGTCTGGTGTCCTTAACTGCTATTCTAAACATGTGATTCAGGTAAATGATTTGAAGGGAAAGAGTCTTGCTCTGTGGTTTTGGTGATCACTCATTTGGTCCTTTGTGCGTCAGGAAAAGTGGAGCACAAAAAGGGAGGGAATAGCCCAGATGTCACCTTCCTGTTTGTACTCTTGCACTGGGATGTGGAGGATCCTCACAACACCAGGGCTATCCTAGCCTTCTCTGGAAACGCGGTGTGACAAATACCCCAAAAAAGTGTGGGCAGAGCTGGGTCCCTGCCCAGAGGCAGACAAGTGTGCTCCTGGCTTACGTGTGCTCTTTGGCCCCACCAGTGGGTGTAGCAGATTCCTAGGGAAACAAAACCCCTACAAACAGAAAACACTGCCTCTCTGAAGAAAAGACAATAAAAATACTCCCTTGTTTTAATCACAAATTTCAGGTGGATGCATGGAATATATCTTTGGCACCAGGTACTCAGTGTTCAGCTCAAAGGGGTGGGGAACAATTTAAAAAAACAGGTATAAATAGCAAGGCCAGAGCCACATGACTCACAGGGAATGTTTACGTAGGTGCCAAAATTCAGGAATGATAAGAGAGGGAATTTGATGACAGTTACCGGGATGAAATTATCCAAGAGAATGGGCTTAGGAAAAAAACAAATTAAAAACAAACAAAACCCTGAAGTTTACAAAGAGTTCTCCAGTGAAAATGGCCAGAGTCCTCTCTGCTTCCTCTTTGGCAAGGTCTGCTCACAAGAGCATCCACATGGGACTCCAGAGAGTGATCTGTGGGAAGGAGAATTCTGTTACCAGAAACATTTAAAAACCACCAGGGACTTCCGCTTTGCCCATGAAGACGTAACTGCCATGCAAATTGCTGTCCCGCCATAAACAACTAGAAATCCTGATAAAGGACAGGAAACGGAACTGTCTTATGACACTGGGCACGAGGCAGGGCAGGACTGGGATTCCCAATGGGAGGGAAACACACACGGGGACCACTGCTGATCCGGTTCCGGCCCAGCTTGTGCTGGGATGAGGTTTCTAGGCTGAGGACCAGGGAGGGGAACCCCAAACCAGGCCCAGCAGTCTCAGTCTTGCTGAGAAGAGAGAAAGATGAGAGGTGGAGGAGGCCAAAGCTGCTAGAATACCAGAGAGGGGGAGCTGCACAGAAAGGGGGCTCTGAAAAGCTACCATAGAGTCCCTTTGAATCTCGGGCTGATACTGATCTGACACATGTGGGATGAGATTCCAAAGGCCTAAGGAGAGAATCACTAAAAAGGACAGGCCAAACAATCCCCAAAGTGGACACAGGGCTGGGAATGGTCTGCACTCCCACAGGCCAGTGGAGCGACCTCATAATACACGAGACACTAGGCAGGGTCCTCAGAAGGGCCCTGTACTAGTGCCGAGGGCCACTCTGGATCTGCTCTGACAAAGCGTGAAAGTGAACCTCAAAAGGATTAAACTGATTCCAAGAAACTCAGATACATGGCAGAAGAAAATGCAGAACTCTGTGAAGAATACAATACAATTTAGTTTTCAATGACATAATAAAGCTCACCATGACTGGCATCCCACAATAAATTAATAGGCAAGCAAAGAGCAGAAATATGACTTATAAAAAGGAAACTTAATTGACAGAGATAGCACTGACAGAAATGATGGAATTAGCAAACAAGGACATTAAAATAGCTGCTGTAAATATGCTCTACATGTACAAGAATGTAGAGACGATCATGAACACAAGGAGACAAATGGAAGATATAAAAATGACCCAAAGGAAACTTCTGCAGAAGGATAAAAAAATATCTGACATGAAAAATACACTGGATGGGATTAACAGGACCTTGAGTGTGAAGAAGAAAAGGTCACTGAAGGTGAAGACACAGCAAAAGAAACTAACCAAACTAAGGCACAGAGAGACAAAACAGATTGGGGGGAAAAAGGCAAAGCAAAGCATATTATGGAATGACAGCACACTGGCTATCATAATTTAAGTAATTGAGGTCTCAACAGGAGAGGAGAGGCGAGAGCAGAAAAAAATGTTAAAAGAAATGGGTAAACATTTACCAAATCTGATGAATCGCTGCAAACTCGCATAGATAAACTATAAACCCAAGAAGCTCAATGAGCCCCAAGCGGGATGTAAAGAGAATCACACCAAGGCACATCACAATCAAATCACCACAAACCTATCAGAATGGCTAAACTTTTTAAAATTAAGTGTCAACGGGAATGTTAAGCAGCTGGAACTTTCTCATGCATTTTGGTGGGGATGCAAAATGGTCCAGGCCCTTTGAAAAACAGGCAGTTTCTAGTGAAGTAAAGTATAAACTTACCATGACCCAGCAACTTACTCCTTGGTATTTATTCAAGATAAATGGAAACATGCACAGATATTCACAGTAAAATTTGGAAAAACCCAAATGTCCTTCAAATGGTGAATGGATTAAAATGTGACACATATAAGAATGTATAAACTACCAATACGTGCAAAACCATGGGTGTCTCTCAAGAACATTTTGATAGTGAAAGAAATGAGACACAAAAGACTACATACTATTAAGATTTCTTTTATAGACATTCTGGAAAAGGCAAAACTATAGTGAGAGAATGTAGATCACTGGGTGCCAGGGCCCAGGGACAGGCTGGGGGCTGATGGCAGTGTAACTCCATCCTCTGAATGAAGGCCCTTCAGAGGTCTTGTTCTAGGAAAGAGGCAATACTGGAAGTGACATTTGGATCTCTGCTATAGGAGGGTGGGTAACAAGAAAATGTGATTGTGCCAACACAGAGCCCCTGAACCCAGGCAGGTCTAAATCCAGATGATTTCCTAGAAGGCCAGCAAATCTCCTTTGCAACTTAAAACTCTTCTGAGTTGTGACTCTCTCTTGTCTTTTACCAGGCAGGGCAATGTACCCTCAACCCCAGCATTTCAATGCTGTCACTTACCTGAGAGTGAGATTCCTTCTGCGAGCCCATAAGGAAGATAAGCAAATATGATCATCATGCCAAACTCCAATGAAGGTGTTTTCCTCAAGTCAATATGCTTTAGCACGTAAATGACGATTGTCAAGGAAAAAGGGGCAGTTAACGGTAGATCTAAAGAAGTCATAAAATTGCTTTCAAAATAAGGTAAGCAGGGGATACAAGATTCTGGAACATCCTGAGGTAACTAGTGAATATCTGTCATACTATTTTCTTTCTTCGCAGGGAGACTGTTGTTTTGAGAAAGGGAATCTATCTGACAAAACACCAAGCCATGTAAATTGCTGAAACAAATGTGAGGGAAAAACTAAAATCAACCCAAGTCAATTCATTAAAAAATGCTGACTTGGAACACTGGGAATGTGCCAGGGTCATGGCGTCAAAGCTTGGGGCTGCAGACAGGGTAACGCTTTCAGCTCCTCCAACATCAGATGATATTACTAATGGGGTTTCCAGAACCAGGGTTCAAAGCCCCACTGAAAGACCTGCTTTCCTATTTCTGGAGATTTCTAAACTCAGTTCCTGTGAAATAAGAGTCTTCTATGTATGCAAATGTTGCTGTGCGCCTATGCTGGAGCTGAAAGAACCCATTACAGTAGCTGTCCACCCCAACCCCCTTTTAAGAAAAAGGTAAGTGTGTTGGAAAATACTGAACTGGACAGAGGTTTCTCTTCTTTTCCATTCTGTTTATTGGTACAATATGAGAAGCTGTCGGCCAACTCAATAAGAGCCTTTAGACTTCTGGACAAAGGAGCTGAAGGGGAAATTCAACAGGATGGCAGACAAACACGCCTATCACAGGCAAAAAGCTTTTTGGGCCATCTGTGAAACAAGCTGCTCATGGAGGAGGGCCAGGCGGCCATCTCCCTGAGACGCAGGCTTAGGTGCGCATAGAAATGATCTGGTGCCTGCTCCTATTTTAAACATGACCAATTTTCTGCAGGAATAAAGGTGTCACTGGCCTTAACAAGCTTCTTTCCTTCTTTGGCTGGGAAAGCTTATGGGATTTTAAGCAACAGAATGAGTGCAAATAACCAATATGGAGCTCACTTTAAGAATCTCTTTGCTGGTTCTTCCAGATAAGCACTTTCAGTACAGTGAAGATTTTCTCAGTTTGACATTAAGAAAAAAAACTAATTTCCAATTTTATGAATATGAAAAGTGAGACAGCAGAAAACGAAAATCATCTGAATGTTGTATTATACTCTGGAAACTGAAAAGCCCCCCAAATCAGATCTGATATCTGACAGTGTACCTTTTTTTTGAGGAGGCCTCAAAGCTAGATGTAATTTTATTCAAAAAAGATAAAGAAATGTGACTTTTTTTTGTAAATTGGAAGGAGTGTAGAAAACCATGCTTGGTTAAAAAATATAAGAATGTGAGAAACAAAGGTTCTTTTCCTTAGAAAAGACTCTGGGCCAAGGCTCTTAAGTTACTGCAACAAGGCTGAATTGATATGAAGGATGAGATGAATGCCTTGACAGTAGCACAATCTCTCCTGCACTCTCATGTTTACCCGCCAGCCCACTGTGTGTGTACCTGAGGGTCGCAAGTGGGGCCACTGGCTCCTTCACTGGGTCTTAGTTGGGCTTCCAAGTGATTATTCTTCTTAAAAAATTCCTGCTCTTTAGAAATGCTTGCATTTGGGCCACCCATACCTCCATCCACTTTCAAATTAAGACAGGATCTAGGTGGACGCTTGTTCTCTTCACTCCAAGTGCTTCCACACCCCGGGCGCGTTCAGCATCTAATTATATATATTGACTCCACAACTGGCATACTGGTTACTCGACCTGCTTATCGCCAGTGATCTTCATCTCCATTCTTCTTCAGATGACATAAATGGACCTGCTCCACCTCTCAAATCATGCATCAATTACCTGTTATGTGCCTGGAAAGTTAGTGCTGTGGTTGGCAAAAGCCATGTGGATTTCTTTCTATCACCGCTTGAGGCTCTGCGTCATGGCAGCTGGCTTCTCCAGTTGGCGAGACCCCTGGGACCACCTTGGAGGCTCTCTACCACACCTTCATTCCATCAGCTACACCTGGCCATGCTCCGTTGTCAAAACATGCCGTGCCTTCCTAGCGTTCAGGATAAAAGCTGAAGGCCCTACTGTGGTCTCTGGGGTCTTCCCCGATCTACCTCCTCACTTTACCTTTGTGATTTCCTGCTCTCCCACTCGCATCCTGGCCTTTCTGCTGTTCCTTGAGCCCATGGGGCTCATTCTACCTCAGGACTTGGTTGTCTTCTCAGTTAGGCATGGTCTCTCCCAGAGAACAGAATGGCAGGACCCCTCATTTCCTTCAGATCTTTAGCCTACAGTCATCTCTGGGCAGGGCTTTCCCTGTTTATATTCTATCTAAAATTTAACCTCCTTTCTCTGTCAATATTTACAATCCCTCTTGTGTATTTTTCCCTTACAGCTCATCTTTATTTAACACACTGTTCTTTTTACTTCTCTTATTATTGTTCATAGTCTCTGTTAGAAAGTAAGCTCTGAAGGAAGAGGTTTTGTATTTTGTTTACCGTGCCATTATCTGTATAAAAAGTGCCAAGGATATTGCAGATCCTTGATAAATACATGTTTAGAGAAAGCTTACAAAGGAATGCCTAGAAAACATGATGTTTGATTGTAATTGGTTTGACACTACTGTGGCCACTTGGCATGAGGTTTTTAAGAGTTGCATCTGCCTCGTAATACAGCAAAGGACATGCTATTTTCTGCTCCATTTCAGGGCTCCCAGTATTTCCTGAAGAGAATAATAGCAATACCTGCATCCTATTGCTTTGTACTTGGCTCCTTACAAAAACTACTTCATCTAATCCTTTAGCAACTCTGCAAGTTAGGTTATATTATCCCCATTTTATACATGAAAACCTGAGGCTCGTTAACTAACTTATCTACTATGTTGAAGCTAATATGTGCTGGAATTGGTATTAAATAGGTCATTCTAAATCAAAATGCTCATTTGTCACCACAAAGCTATGGTGTTTGGGAGATCTAAAAAGAGAAGAAATATGAATAGGCAGATCTAATCTGAAAGCAATGAAGAAATGTGAATGTATTTTAAACCAGTGAGTGACATAATTAGGTTTGCATGTTAGAAAAATTGCTCTGGCAGTAGAGTGGAAAATGAAATGCAGACAAATGGCTGGAGTCAGGAAGTGAACAGATCATTGCAAGAAACTAGATAACAAATCATGAAGCTCATTCTAGTTGGTGGAAATTGTGATATGAAAAAGAACACAGAATTTAGATACTTCAAGAGCTAGAATTCACTTAGGGATGAGGGAAGTGAGAGGCCAATGATGGCTTCCAAGTTTCTTATAGAAATACATGGTGGTGATGTTAATCCTGATTAGGAATATAAGAAGAAAAGTGGATTTGAAAGAGAATAGTAGAGCTGAAATCAAAGGAGAAGAGACCCTTTCAAAAGGAGAGACTGGTATAAAATCTCAGATAGTGCCAAGAACTAAATAAGTCAAGGACTTAACACTGTTGTTTGGATTTGACCCAGTGTACCTGTTTTTTTGAGCTTTGAAAAGTGACATCTTAAATTTCACATTAAATATAAAAATTGAGTTTCAATTAAAGCGCTCCTCAAACCAAAACTAAGCATAAAATTCCTTCTTCAGACACAAACTAAAACTGGCCCCCTTAAGGAACTGGAGAAAATGGCTAGAGATGTATGTAATTAAGAATAATCTTATCAGCCACGTTTGTTCATATTAAAAGGATATTAATGCAGAGATTAAGCCAGTGAGAGTGCCAAGTGCTGCTGAGCCAAAGAACATTTTGAGGAAGTAGCCAAGGGCTTGTAAAAATGTTTGCCACCCACTGACATCTGACATATTTTTTCTTGTTAAACCTTCAGCTGTGCTAGGAAATAAAACAAAAACAGAAGGAAGTTAAAATGTTATTATAGACAAAATTATTAAAACTGACCTAGAACTTAGAACGTACTTCTTGTTTATTTTCTCCTTCATTCATGCCACCATTCAGTTAGCCAGCCATATATGTGTTGGCCTGCTTTATTCCAGGCACCATGTTAGTCCCTGAGGGTTCAGAGATGAGAGTCAAATCCCTGCCCTTGTGGAACTCTATAGTCTGATGAGGGAGAAAACAAGACGGAAATGAGTGGGCATGTCGGGTAAGGGCAAAGGGCTGTAGAACACAGGGCAGGCGTCTCACTTAGCTGGGTGAGGGGCAAGGAAGGCTCTTCACGACACACAGGCTGGGTTTAGTTTTTGCATAAGGAAGAGTTATCCAGGGGAAGAAATGAGGGAAAACACCCCAAAAAGAGGCAGGGTTCCCAAGAGTATGTAGCACATTCTGGGAGCATTCGGTTAAGACAGATTAGTATGGATAAAACACAGGAACAGCACGTAGGGGACAGAGGCTAGTGCAGGGACAGTGGCAAGAGACAACAGCAGCAGGCGGCACAGGACCCTTGAAAGGCTTTGGATGGACCAAGCTAAGGAGTTGGTGTATCATCCTGAAGGCCCTGGGGAGGCATGGGGAGTGGTCCAGGGGTCGGGGAGCAGGGTGTCCTGTGAGAAAACCCTGGAATTGAGGCTCGGGCTGAAGTCAGATTAGAATGGAGCTCCCCAAAGAAATGCCATTGGGTGCAGAGTGAGGGTGGATTTAGAAGGCATTAAAACAAGGAATTGAAAGAACTTCCTTCCCCTGTAACAGAGCATAATGTCAGAAGCCATTAAACTCCACTCTTGGTTTTATCCCCAAACAGCACCCACGATGCCATTAAAACGGAGTTACTGTCATTAAATGTCCTCCTTCGGATTCTACCTTCAGACTATCTTCAAATCTGTCCACTTCTCTCCCTCCCCAACCCCTGTCCCCAGGCTTATGCCTCACTGATCTCCCCGTACACACTCTTGTCTTCCCAAGGACCAGCACATTCTTCTCATAACCTGAATGATCCCTTAAAATGCCCTCTGACCAGGTTACTGGCCTATTCGAAACCCATGGACAGTTTCCAGCTGCTTTAGGGGAAGAAGCCCAGTCTTCTCAGCATGTCCTGACTCCACTCTCCTCTGATCCTACGTCCTCCTCACGCAGGGCTGGCTCCACTGTCATGGCACCTCCCTGTAGGTCATCTTCCACTCTTCCCTGGCCTCAGCTAACTCCAGGTTTGTGCCTCAGAACCCAGGGTCAGTGTCACTTCCTCAGGGTCACCTGCCCTAACCCCCGCACACAGGCCAGTCCATTTATAGGTTCTCCTGGTGCCTGACTTCTCACAGCATGTGAAAACGAATGCATCATTGCACGGGACCAAGCCTATCTCCATCTTGTTCACTGCCACATATCCAGGGCCTAAGGCAGGGCCGAGCATACAAAAGTCACACAAAACTTTTTGCTACATCAGTAAACAAAATAAAGAGCTGTCAATGGTAATATTCAGTTTCATTAATGAGTGTTTTGGCATAATTTTAAAACAGGATAATCTCTGATAAAAGGGTAGCTTGGTCAAAGAACCTTAGGAAGCCTTTTGTGGCAATTCACAGCACAACATAACATAATAAAGGCTCAGAAGTCTTACAAAAAAGAAATCGAACATTTTTCACACACAAGTTTTCCAAACTCAACTGGATGCACAATCTCCCCCATCCCCCTTTTACCAGTACGTCACAGGTTAACAACCCACCTTGGGGAATTCTGGGAGCCAACAGGGTTCTTAGGGGGAAAGTGCTTTTGGAGGTTAAGATCACTACAGTTGCCAAGGGATCTATGGGCCACATGCAAATATGTCCAGCCTCCACCCCACGTGGCAACCAGGGCTGGTACACTGGTTTCATTGCGCAGATGAAGCTGGGGCCTAGAGAGAGGGACTAACTGGTAAGGTCACACCAAAGACTGACAGCAAACCCAGGGCTCAGGCAGGTGGTTTCTGAACTCAGGATAAACCAGAGTATCATCTGTACTTTTCTGGCCTGGTAATTTCCTATATTTTATTTTTTCAAGTGGTATTTCTCACATCTTAAACAATAAAAGACTGCTGCTGCAGGTTCCATTTCAAGAGCTTAAGCTGTAGCTGGAGAGAACAAAAGGTTTCCTCTACAGCAATAACTATAAGAATAAATTGTCATAGCAACAAATCAAAGCTAAAAATAATTTAATTAAAATTAATAAACAGAAGATTGCTTTCTGGCACTTACGAAAGTAAAAACATTAAAAGGGGAATTCATTTACATACTCAGTTGCAAAAAGAAATATGTCAGATCACTTTGAAAATGATCATTTATGAAGTATATATACCCTTTTTAAAATAATAAGTGACTCTGCCTTATAACTGAGGAATGCTGACAATTGCTCCCTCCTGTACTTAAAAAAAAAAGCAGGCCTCCATGTCCCTTGTCCCCATCTCCATCTTCTCTATGTAAATGCCTACTGGCTCACAAGACAACTTGTCCGAGAAGCCTTAACTCCAATCCTTGAGTGGTTGTTACCCCCTCATTAGACAAGGTACCATATTCACTTCTTCATGAGCATCTTTCTCCCACTTCGGACCAAGTATGCAGAGTCCCACTGGTCTCTGAGCAGTGTCTGGCACCCAGAAGGCCCTCACCACGTGCCAATGGTGGATAACCAGCCTTTTGCACATCTGAAGAGTCATGGAGGCTGGCTGAGGCTTGGGCCTGTGACTCCCACCCCAGCCTGTGTACAGCAGCAGTGGGGGTGGAGTCTGGAAATCACACATGCCTATGATCCACTGATCCAATTTCAGGAACTCTTGTTATAGGTGATCTAGGCCTTAAAAGCACTTTACCAGGAAGAGCCTCCGGCTACTTAAAGTGACTCCATCATTTGTCATTAAAATAGAAATTCAAACAAAAAAACCTCCTAATCTTTGGCCTTTCTGTGGCAAAGCGACCTGGAAAAGCTCAGAAAAGCTCCTACTTCTGACAGATTTTTAAAAATGAAGTAGACCCAGAACAGTTGAGTTGAGCTCTTAATGCATAAAAATAACTCATGATGCCACCTCCAGTTTAGGCAAAATTCTTTATCACAAATGTTCAATATGTGCAGCTAGGACGTGAGATAGAAGTCAAAACCAGAAAGCTAAGAATCTTTCAGAGTGGATCTTAAATAAGAAACAATATTGTAATTACATTTACAAGTCTTATAAAGGTCTTAAAGAATGCTGTATGATAATTTCCTAATAAAGTTATAGAAATTTTTACAAAGTGAGAAAACCAGTAATAGGGAACTGGTTAAATAAATCATAGTAAATCCATAGGAAGGAATACTCTGTAACCAGTAAGTGATGTTTTTCAAGACTATTTTATCAACAGAAAAGTTACAGTATATGGGCTATAAGCCCATTTAAACAAAACATATATATAATTCTACCAAATTGTAATACTACCAAATGAATGCAATGCATGTAATCTTTTCCTTCCTTCCTCCCTCCTCCCTCCCTTCCTTCCTTCCTCCAGGAAGGTTTCTTGGCTTTGTTTAAGGTCTGCTGAGTACCTCTTGCAATTGAGCAACCTTGGGTAAGTTCTTCCTGCAAAAGCAGGACCCAAACAGGCCAAATACAGAGAAATCATAACTGGGGGCAAGAGAAGGAGAGGAAAGAGTCTCACGTTAACTGGCGTCAGATGCTTTTCACAGTGTTCCACATTTAGCTCCGACGTCCAGCCGTCGGCTGAGGCATTATCACCCTCCCTTTACTACTGAGAAACCTGTGGCTCAGAAGGTGGAGCTGACTCAGGGCCCCACAGCTCTGAGAGGCATCATCAAGACTTGAGCCCAGCTCATCCTGACTCCAAAACCTGCGCTCTTTCTGCTATAAAACATCTATTTTATTCCAACATAAGAATTCTGAATATAGTGTATAATAAATAAAGCTTGTAAGGAAATGTTATCTACCAGGTTATGCTCAGCAAGGAATCTCAAGACAAAGGAAACAAATCAGTACTCAGATCATGGAAATTCTAATCTCTACAGAACACACATTGGCCCCTAAAATTCTCCTAACTCATCTCGGATACATGGTCCAGGGCTCTTTTCTGACCAACTGTGCCTTCTGTTTTTTGGCAACACGATTTGGGTCTCCTGCCCACATATGCTAAGGAACCACAAAATGCAGAGTTCAGGGTAAGAGGCCTGTATCAGATAAATGCATTTGAGATTATCTTAAATTCATTTCCATTTCCTAATGACTTCTTGACATTTTATGATTCATCTTTAATTTTTCAGATCCTTCCACAGGACAGTTAAAAGCAATCAACATTTGAAAAAGACTTGTGGTTTCTCAAGCTGTGTTCACACAGCAGCATTGTAAGGTGGGCTGCCTTATTTTACAGCTGTGCAAATGCAGGCCATATACAAACAGCTCATAACTAGGAAAGCTCTGACTACTGCTTCTGTCTGCCACAGTGCTGCCCAAACACTGAACCTTCATTATTTGGGGAACTTAGGGAAAATCTAAGTTCCTGGCACTTACCCCAGACCTGAGGTGGAGCCTGAGAATCAGAAACTCTGAGGGTAGGGCCTGGGATTGCTACATTTAATAAGCACCCCCAGGGATGCTGAGGAGAAGCTGAGGCTCAAAAGCAAGCCATAAAAATCAGACTCTTCTCTCATCACCCAGGCCCTTGACAATATTTCTGAGGCACATCAGGCTTGTCAGGACAGAAAGATGGAGAAGCAGGTAAACTACCTGTCACCCAGAGGACCAGCGAGTACACATGCAGCTACATGGAAACACTGTCCCTTTGCTGCAAGGACCTTTAGCCTGTCACTTGCAGAAAGCACACTTACTTGGTCAGGACAATGGAGACTGCGTCATTGAGAATACTCTCTCCGAAAACCAGCATGTTGAGCACGGGGTCCACGTGAAGTGCATTGAAAATAGCAATAGTAGCCACTGGATCCACAGCAGAAATGAGGGAGCCAAATGCAAAACTGTGAAGAACAGAAAAGGGAGGGGCAATCCCATAATGCTTATCACTCGGTCCACATCGTGAAACATTAAAGTTCAAAGATGGTATCTGGTATAACCTAATAGGGCACACTGTAGCGGAAGTAACCACAAAAGATGGTGTATTTTTTTTCCACTTATAACATCTGCTAATTGACCTTGTGGGTGGGGCAGTGAAAGCCCACCCTAAAAGGAGTGGTTAGGGATAGCCTGCTTTTCCGCCACAAGTACTGAGACTTTATTTTGACCAGTGGTGGACAGAAGACTTGCTTAAAATACATTACAGACTTCCCAGGTTTCTGGGTCAGAGCAGCTGGAAGCATGGCTTGATATGGTGGGGAGGGGGAGGGGGAGAAAGGGGATGTGGGCGGTGCTCCCCCAAATGGCCCATGAGCTCTAGTGCCTGACCTCTGCTTTGCCCCTTGCCACCAGACCACCAGAGTGCCACTTGTGATGATCCCAGCCTCCACTTAAATTTGCAACATCTAAGAAAGGGCCCAAAGCCAGCAGCAACTCCAGTGTGCTTCAGGGGATGGGCAGCGTGGGAAGCCACCAGCATCATTGCCGCCTCCCACCAACCCAGCAGCGCTCACTGACAGTACCCGTGACGGTCTAATTACCCTCAACAAATATGTGTTCACTGTCTAGTATGTTTCAGGCACTAAGTCTAATACTAAGAGCAAACATTTATGTGGCACTTGCCATGTCCCAGGCATGGGTCTGAGCACTTTACATACAGTAACCCAATAATCCACAGAGCAGCTGTGTGGGATAGTATGACTACTGGCCCAATTACACAGCAGAAAACCAAGGGCCAATGAGGTAAAGTAACTCAGGTCGGCAGCTAAGAAGTGGCAGAGCCAGGATCCAACCACAGGCCATCTGGCTCAGGGTCCTAACCACTAGCCCAGATACAGCAACACCCAGAGCCTAAGACCAATGTAGGAAATGGCAAGCTTACGCAGGAAATCGGGGTGACAAGAGAAAGAGTAACATGGCAGGGGTGGTGAGGGGGCCACTCAAACTGGGTGGTCAGGAAGTACCTCTGAAGAGATGACACTCATTCAAACAAGGACCTACAATGACAAGAAGCTGGAAGCCAAGCTAATATCTGGGGACAGTGACAACAGCAAGCTACTTCAGGGGCGGGAGCAGGCTTGGCTGCCTGAGAGACAGAAAGGTGAGGGTGAGTGGTAGGGGATGTTAAGAGCCTGGCCAGGGAGGCAGGGCCACATCACCCCTGGGGCCTTGTGGGCCGCCTGAGAGCTGGATGATTTATGCTCTCAGCCCCTTCCTCTTCTCTCCTCAGGGCTCTTGCAGGCCTTCTATGCCTTCAAACTGCTATACCTGGCACCACTTTCTTCCTGGCTCAGAAGCATGGTTAGGTCTGCTCCCTCCTGCAACACAAGAAAACCCTGGAGCCCCAAGGGGACAGCCCTGGGGAGAGGCCGTTCCCTGTTTCCCGCCTCACCAAGCTTGCATGGGAGGGAAGCGGGAGCTGCTGAGTGCGCTGTCTCATTGCCAGCAGCCCTCGATCGATTGGCTCCCACTCCAGCCCCAGGAGAGGAGTTCCTCCAAGGGGAGATGCTTGGTTAACTTGCCAGTTACAGATTTCTTCATAAATGAATAACCTGAAATTCTGGTTTCCATGGTAGCTCCCCATGAGTCTGACCACTGTGCATTCATGCAGGAGAGCCTCCCACCTCAAGGATAGCCCCAGGACCCCAAAAGGCAGTCTCAGTTCCCAGACTTTGCCTGTCCTCGCAGAGGTCACCACATGCATGAGCTGTGACTTTACCTGCCTCTCACCCACATGGTCATTGCCAAGGGGGCTGGCACTGTGTTAGCCATGAGCGTATTCCCAGGCTCTGCACTTAGCTCGGCCTGGAGCTGTCTGTGGAAGGCAGGCAGGCGGCCAGGAGGGAGGAAGGAAGGTAACGCCACCAAAGGGTGTCAACCTGGGAGGCCCTCACGCTGCCATCCAACACACAGCTTCCTGTCTTTCCTCCTCTCCTATTATTCTCACTCTCACCACCCACAGCAACATCTTGAAGAATGTCTAAAAATTGTATCCCAAAGAGAGAGGAGAGGTGGGGGAGGGGGAACCTGGGAGCCTTTGGTGTGTGTGTGTTGGGGGCCGACTTTGTGCAGCTCTGCTGGCCTCCCCCTCCATTCCCGAGTACAGTGCAGCCAAGTGGACAGCCATGGTTCTCCCTGCCCAGCACCTAAACCTGGATTTGATAACAGCACCCCAACTTACCCTTGGGGAGTCACACCTCCCCTGCTCTCCATCCATGTGGTTGCATGGGGCTCTAGGAGTGGGCAGGGGACTCAAGCTTGGTCTAAGAGGGCATTTTACCAGGTCACTGGGCATTAGGTTGGCCCCTTTGACAGGGATGGCTGAAATGGAGGTGACATGAGCCCAGAGCCATCAGTGCAGCTACTTGGAAGTGAGTGCATCCTGAGGATGAAGCTCACCAAGGAAGAGCTGAGCTGAGATGCGGTGAGAAGAGAAATTCCCGACACCAAGGACCCCTAGAGGCTGTTATGCCAGAAGCCATCACTCTGGGGACACTTCGGTTCTATGAGCCAGTAAACTTCTTATTTTGCTAAAACTACTTTGTGCTGGGTTCATTTGCACTCAACAAGGCCTGACTCGTGTTCTTTGCTCCAGTCCCTGTGGGACCCTGAACTGGAAATCAGACAGCAGGAACTAGAAGATGAGCTGAAGAATGGAGGGGGGGCATGGATTGATGCAAAGATCCAGAGTACAGTAAATACAGCGAGTCAGTAATTGTAGAATCTGAACGGTGGTCACGTGGGTGGGTGTCCAGCTGTATGATGCTTTACCTTTTCAGTATGTTTGAAATTTTCAATTTTTTGTTGGGGGGAAATGCTTTGCATAAATCAGGTGACATCTTTAGCTTTGGCTGGGAATGTAAACTGGGGCAGTATATTTCTGATAATGAATATGAAAAGTCTGAAATATATGATGGCCAAACCATTGAGAAGTCTGAATCTAAGGGGTTTAATCTTGTCATCAGTTGTTCCACTTCATATCTTCAGGACCCAATCTTTTAAAAGACCAGAAGCTAGAAATTCAACTTAAAAATGTGTTTTCTTTATCATCTCAAAAGATAGCAATGTCAACAAAAAAAGAAAACAGACTGGAATGGTGAAATAATTCAGGGTGTATTTATGAATGAAATACCTCTCTAGCGAAAGTATCACTGACATAAAATCTGTGCAACAAAGTTGTTTTTGTTTTCTAGAGGTGCAGAAGCTTGTGGGTCTGTTTGACTTGCATAGCATTTTGCAGTTGTCAACATTTAAAAACCAGAAAATTCCTTGTTAAAATCTAGAAACCTGGCCTCTTTTGAAAAAAAATTTTAAACAGCTCGAAATTCTGGGCCCACAGTCCCATGTGGTAATTACCAGGTGGAGCTGAGAGGTGGCTAACCCCTTCAGACGGATGTGCTCACTGGTTCACTGCTGTCGCCACCTCTAGACACGCAGCTGGCCTCTGTTAAGTATTACCCCAGGCCCTGCAGCTGTGTGGGGTGCGACTGCGGGCTCATTTACCAGAGCACTCTCTGTCTGCGGGGCACTCACTTTCTAATAGGAAAGCAAGTGTCTGCACATGGAGAAACTCACCCCTGGCTCTTCTCTGCTTGTCCTGGGGCCAATGCTTTTACTGCTCTCCCTCTAAACATCTTAACCACCCTTTCAATTCAATTTCAAAAGAATTTTGCAAGTGTTTTCTGTGTCTCTAACCAACTGCCCCCAAACACCTGAAGGACTGATAGCTGTGACATCCTCTTTTACACTGACTGGGTTTGGGGCATTTCTTTTCACTAGCAAAACACCTACGAAAGGCAGGGCATCAGTTCTGCTTTATTTCCAGCTCCTTATGGCAGAGGAATGGGACTTTTGCTGCTTGTTTATATAGCAAGACTATCTTACAACATAAGCTGTGAAATGTATGCCCCTGGGGGGAATAATGAGATTGAACTTGATGTTATTAGAGGCACATTTCCCATGAAAAAGGGCTCCAAGATTCTAGTCTCCATGTTGCTGCTGCAGGTGGACAGTTCTGGCTGTCCTGATGGGAGAGACCTGGACCTGCGTGCTCGGCCCCACTTCCTAGCTCCCCAGCCATGCCAGAGGACTAACCCAAGCACTGATGGCGCAGAAACCCAGAGCAAGGCTGCACACTTGCTGGACTTCTCCGAGAGGGGAAACCAGGCTGCACTCTGCTCGTGTACTTTGTTAGCACTAGACTGGTACTTTCTGTGAGACAGTTGCCTAGGTTGCTTCTTGCTGATACGGACATTCATGAACTGGGCTCCTGGACAGCAGCTCTGAGTGCTCCCTGGAGCAGCTTCAGGGCCGAGGTGGACATCCACAGTGGAGCCCTTGGTCCTGCCTGCTCCCCCCGCCCAACCCCACTCCCAGGGTGACAGGAATCCCCGAGTAAAAACTCACACCTTACTCCCTGCATATCCCTAATCTATAAAGACAACTTTTTATTATGGCCATTAAAAGGACTTAGAAATTAGCTGAAGATGGTCTTAAAAGGACAGAATGTGTGTGCATGTGGAGGGCAGTTAACGAAACAGAGCTATTCCCTCCAAAACTTGAATGAAATCAATCATCTCAATCAGCAACTCTCTGACTAGATATCTTCAGACACAATTTTGATTCATTTCAGAGACACAAATTAATTCAGAATAGACTCTATAACTGAAATCATCAGCAAAAAAAAAAACAGAATAAAGGAAAACCACACCCAGGTATTAATGTGAAGAAAACTTTCCCCAGTCTGAAAAGTAGTCACATGGGTGTTACAGTATGAAAGATTTACCTGTCTGTCATGTTGAGTTTAGAGATTACATCAGCCTGTAAAATAAAACACATAAACACACAGACAGACAAAAAAAAAAACCCTGGAGAATAGCCAAGAAGATTAAATGTCCATTAGTGCTTTATTATAAACTAATAAGGACATTAATCTTCAGTTCCCAAACCACTTGAAAAATAAAGAAAACTCCTAAGTTTTAGTTTAAGCATGCATTTGACCATCATTTACCAAAAGTATGGAAAAGAATGTTACATTTTCAAGCCAATTAACTAGAGTTTTCGTTTCTAAAATTTATTTCCATTTGATACTAGAATCTGAGCAATGAAGAAGGTTGCACGACAGATTTATTCTGGTGCCACCCAGGAAGCATAAAGGTGAATATCAGATGGGATGGACATGAGCCTATATCTGTCAGAGGAAGTGAATACATGTGACACACATAAGAGAAATATGCCAGTCACCCAGATGCCTGTGTCTCAAACTGAGTTTACTGAACTAGGGCGGGTACCTTCCCGCCACTGACCATAAGGAAAAGAACTGACATGCATAGACGTGCATAATATAAAACTACAGCTATTACCTTTCCAGGTTTGGTTTAAATTAATACACATTAATTTGAACTCAAGTGCAGAACACTCAATTGATGATACTGGGAATGGTTTTAACAATGGTGGAAAATCAGAGTATACAGTCTATATAGGTGGGCAGCTTAGAACTGAGTGAACACATTCAGAATCATCTTTACTTTTTAAAATGCAAATTTTTACATTTACAAATTTTACAAAAAACACCAGTTAATCCTGATTCAGTCCATCTGACAACATAATTGATACTGTTATAAATTTGAAGATCTGGATGGCATGTATTCTACTTAATCTTTAGGTATTCTGACTTAAGACAAAAATTGGTTTGCAAATAAGGTCAAAATGCTTTTGGGATTATGGAAAAGATTCACTCAGTTCCAGACACCAAAGCTCTTTGAGGACCTTTAAAAACAATTTTAGCATGCCTTTACTGTGCCCTCTATGAGGCTGGATTCCCTTCCAGGAGAGCATTTACCTTGAATGTGAAAACCAGGTCTCATGAGTTGCCCCTACCCCACCTTCCTGCACTAGCTCTAACAATGTAAGGTTTTGCAAAGTTTTCCCAAGATGTTTTTCTTACCTGACCCAGAAAATAAATTCCTCCACCTACTACAAAAGCGGAAATCGCTGTGCCAAACACTGCAAATAGGGTGATGGAACCAATGTTTTGGAAGAAGTTACCCTGTTTGAAAGAGCAGAAATGAGGGAAATGATTAGAAAAGCTATCTGGTTAGGGAAGGCATGGCCCCACACACCTGGCCCTCCTCACATGCCTGATTCTCTGTCAAGGGCACCACCACCCACCTCACTTGGCAAGCTGGAAACCTGGGAGTCCTCCTTCACTCCCACATCTAATGCAGAGCCCAGTCCCTTAAAATAACTCTAGGCAAACACGATGATTGTTTTTTCTAAACAAAAGGCTTTCATCTGAGTCTTTCTTTGCAAAGAGGTACTTTATTTTGTTAATATATTTTAAAAAGTTATAAACTAAGTCATGGTCTGTTTATAGGGATCTAATTCTGACATAATTTATGTAGTTGGTTAGTATCAATCTGGATACTGAAAATTTACCCAAATTCAAGTTACCACACAAGAACATCCCTTTGCTATATAAAGGAAATTTATGTTTCTCTCTGACATAATTAATGTCCTACTCTATTTTAATAATTTAAAGAACCAACAGCTGTCTACCTAATCCATATCAACTGATACTGAAATTTTTATTCCAAGTCCAAACTTACATCAGCAATTATAGTAAGATTAAAATAAAACATTCAAAGTTGACTTCCTAGTTTCTTCGGAGTCTAGAAGACTCTGAATTCACAATTCCAACTCACATTAGTCCCTTGCATATAAATTGTCACATTTTTTGCTGGAAAGCCATCTTCAGAGGAATGTTTTTCGAAGAAATTATTTTTCTCAAATTTTGAACAAGTTTATTCCCCCTCCCTCCAAAAAATTAGAAAATAAAAACTTTACATGCTTTAATATAATAAAGTAACATGTTTTTAAGTCAAAAGCAAATCAATTTCTTCAGCATTGTTCTGAAATATTTTGATAATATGCTTATAGTTCTTTTAAGAGTTTTTTGCAAAAATGAGAGCATAAAAGACATTGACCTTTAATTTCTTCTTGCTTATTTTCTTTTCAACAATTATCTGCTCTCAGTAATGGTTTGTAAGACTTGGGAAAGTTTTTGTTTTTTACATTCAACTTTCTTTTCACGTTTTCTTTGGATAGATGCACAATAAAATAACAAATTCAAAAAAGTCTGAACTGAACATATTAGAATATTTTTGCTTTAGTACCGAGACAGAATTTGTATTAAATCTTTACCAAAATGTTTTTACTAAAACTCTCCTGACAAATTTAACTCTCAAGTTAATAAGTTATTATTAGTAATAATGGTCCTATTAATAGATAATATTAACAACAAGAAGCACTACCAATTAATGTGGTGGGTGGTGCTTTATATACATTCTTTCATTGAGTGTAAATCTCAAAGCAACCTGGGGGGTAGGTTTTGGGTTTTCTTGTTTTTGTTCTTAATTTCTGAAAAGGCACCCATAGGGGGTGGTACATGATCAGACCTAGGTCTCTCCAGCACTGAAGTCCAGGCTCTTTCCCATCTCCAAGGAAAGGCCAAGCCTTAGTCCTTCCAACCTTCACAATTCTTATCATTTAAAGTAACTGCTGTATCGCTAATATTTTCAGCTGAATCTCCTGTTTATTTTAAAACTTAAAAATATTTATACTTAAAGAAAACTCATAGACAAGGAAAAAGCCCATGCTCACACACAAACTGGCTTAAAAGTGAGCGGTGCCCCCTCAGGCAGGAGTCCCACTGGAAGCTGGAGGACAGAGACTAGAATGCCAGCGCAAAGCAGAGAACTGGCAGGGGCCAAGGATGCTGCACTCCAGGTCCGGGGAGAACGGTCCGGCAACTGTGGGACTAGGTGGACAGGTCAGAAGGAGCTGGAAGGCTAGCGGGGGATGGGGCTCTAGTCTGGTAAAGAGAAGCTGAGCCAGGGAGAGGGTGGGAAGAAACGAAGACTAGGGAGGAAGGGGCGTATCAGTTGGGAGTTGTGGCCCAGGGCAGGGCATGGAGACAGGAGATACTGAAGGAGGGATGGGTCCAAGGAGGAAGAGAGGTCCCCCTTGGCTAGCTGAGAGAATCAGAATGCCTGGGAGCACATGTCCCAGTGGTCCCAGGACAAAGTCTGTCCTCTTAAACTCTGTGCCAATCTATGACCAAAAAGAGGCGTTAATGTATTGTCCATCCACCACTTAAAACTACTTCGGCCACTCTTTCTAAGCAAAGCAGCAGTATGAAAAACACTAGTCTAATAAGCCACATTGCTTGAAACCATTAAAGCTGCCCTTGACAATTTTTGCTCCTCAACATAAGTCAGGCAGTCCAGTCCAGCTTCTACCATGCACCGTCAGGACGTTTGTTCACCCAGAGCCACCACTGCTAAATTAACACCCAAGCTTTCAAGGAACCTGCCTTCCAAACATGGGAAGCCATCCAGACAAAAGGCCCTAATGTGTGCCCGAATCTTACCTTGTGTAATGAATATCCTGACTCAAATATAATAGGTGGAAGCAAGAGGAGGAAAAACATATTTGGACGAAACATTTCTTCTTCCTGTAAATGTAAAATGAGTATTTTCAGAAGCATGAACTTTGGGTAATTAAGTAATGGACCCATTGTCCAACCTGTTTTTTTTATAGCCTAGCCCCCCGTGGAAATGTACAATGTTAAATGACCACCCAATAATAAAACTAAGAAGAGACAAAATAACCACCACAAAAACAAAACCCCAAATCCAAAAAAAAAAGACCTGCAATTTTAAAATGTAGGACAAGTGATTTTTTAAAAGGTGACCAGCAAAGGAATAGAATGAACTGCTTCCAAACATGAAGTAGCAGGCTTTTTATTCTTTACTAAGGAAAGAAAATTAATTTTAACATAGAAAACATTTCATTTCAAATAGGATACTTTCAAAAACAAGTCCACAGTTGGAATCCTCTAGGAAAAAGTAATGGTCAGCCCTAAAGCAATCTGCTAGGAGGAAGAGTAAGGCCTAGACATGCTCAACACAGCCCTGCCCTTTCTTGGCCTGTCACAGACAACTGTGCTGTTTCCCTCTATCTGACTGTGATGAAATAGTCCCCACTGATGCCCTTGTGACTTGGGACATGGCTACAAAGTGAGCTCCTTGCTATGCTTTCAGACTCAAATATTAAGTATCATTATGAAAGGTATTTCTAGAATATGGCCATCTTTGAGGGGGGATAAATAATAATTTCATTTTAGGCTGAAGGAATTTATAACCACTAAACTGGCATTACAGGATATGTTAGAGGGACTTCTGTACATGGAAATACTCTTATGCCTAAATAGTTTTCACCAGTGAAAATAAATGCACAGTAAAGGTAGTAGGCCAATTACTTACGAAGCAAGTATGAAATTAAAACAAAAGTAGTAAAACCAACTATACACAAAATCAGTCAAGGGACACACAAAAAATGCAGATTATGACATCTAATACATAAAGAGTGGAGGAGAAAGAAGAATAAAAAAGAAGTACTTTTAGATTGTGTTTGAAAAAGAGCAATCATCAACTTAATATAGACTGTTACATGGTTAGCAAGCTATCAATGAACCTTATGGTAACCACAAACCTAAAGCCTATAATAGATACACAAAAAATTAAGAAAGAGAAATCCAACCATAACACTAAAGAAAACCATCAAGTAACAAGGGAGGAAGAAAGGAACACAGAGGAACTACAAAAACAACCAGAAAACAATAAAATGGCAGTAAGTACACACCTATCATAATTACACAAGAGACTCATTTCAGACCCAAAGACATATGCAGACTGAAAGTGAAGGAATGGAAAAAATACTTCATGCAAGTAATAGGGAGAAAAAAGCAGGAGTAGCAGTACTTAATATCAGACAAAATAGACTTCAAAACAAAGAAAATAAAAAGAGATAAATAAAGACATTACATAATGATAAAAGGATCAGTCCAACAAGGTAATACAACCATTATAAATATGCACCCAACATAGGAGCACCTAAATATGTAAAACAAATACTAACATAATTAAAGGGGGAAATAGACTGAAACTCATTCATATTACGAGACTTTAATACACCGCTTACATCAACAGATGGATCAACCAGACAGAAAATAAATAAGGAAACAGAGGCACAGAACACATTAGATCAGATGCACTAACAGATTTCGACAGAACATTCCACCCAAAACAGCAGGATACACATTTTTCTCAAGTGTACATGGAATATTCTCCAGAATAGATCACATACAACAGTCCACAACAAGCCACAGTAAATTTAAAAAAGATTGAAATAGTATCAAGCAACTTCTCAGACCACAATGGTATAACACTAGAAATAAATTACACAAAAACAAAAAAGTCAACAAAAACATGGATGCTAAACAACATGCTTCTAAATAATCAATGGATTATTGAACAAATTAAAACAGAAATCAAGCAATACATGGAGACAAATGAAAAAAAAATACAACAGTCCAAAATTTGTGGGATGCTGCAAAAGCAGTTCTAAGAGGGAAGTACATAGCAATACAGGCTTACCTCAAAAAACAAGAACAATCCCAAATAAACAGTCTAAACTCACAATTTTAAAAAATTAGAAAAAAAAGAACAAATGAAAACCAAAGTTACTGAAGGACATTATAAAGATCAGAGCATAAGTAAAATAGAGAATAATAAAACAATAGAAAAAAATTAACAAAACCAGGAGCTGGTTCTTTGAGAAAATAAACAAAATAAGCAAACCCTTAGCCAGACTCATCAGGATAAAAAGAGAGTACATAAATAAAATCAGAAACAAACAAGGAATAGTCACAACAGATACCCGAGAAATATAAAGAATTATTAGAGAATTCAAAGAAAAATTATAGGCCAATAAATTGGACAACCTAGAAGAAACAGACAAATTCCCAGAAACATACAACCTCCCAAGACTGACCCGGGAAGAAACAGAAAATCTGAACAGACCAATTACCAGTAATGAAATTGAATTGGTTATCAAAAAACTCCCAACAAACAAAATCCAGAACCAGATGGCTTCACAGCTGAATCCTACCAAACATTTAAAGAAGAGCAAATATCCATCCTTGAAATATTCCAAAAAGTAGAAGGGAATAATCCCAAACTCATTCTATGAGGTCAGCATCACTCTAATAGCAAAAAGCAGACAAAGATATTACAAAAAAAGAAAATCTGATGAATGCAGATGCAAAAATCCTCAACAAAATAACAGCAAACCAAATTCAAATATATATCAAAAGGATCATTCATCATGACCAAGTGAGATTTATTCCATGGATGCAAGGATGGTATAATATAAGTAAATCAATCAACATAATTAATAAAACATTAATTAACATTAACAAAAAGGATAAAAATCACACAATCATCTCAATGGATGCTGAAAAAGCATTTGAAAAAATTCAACATCCATTCACGATAAAATATTTCAACAAAATGGGTATAGAGGGTACATATCTCAACTATAATAAAGGTCAATATGACAAACCAGAGCCAACATCATACTCAATGGCAAAAAGATGAAAGCTTTTCCTCTAAGATCAGGAACAAGTCAAGGATGCCCACTCTTACCACTTTTATTCAACATAGTACAGGAGGTCCTAGACACAGCAATCAGACAACACAAAGAGATAAAAGGCATCCAAATTGGTAAGGAAGAAAAACTGTCACTATTTGCAGATGACATATTATTATATATGGAAAACCCTAAAGACTCCATCAAAAAACTACAGGAACTATAATAACTGGATTCAGCAAGGCTACAGGAATCTGCTGTGTTCCTATATACTAACAATGAAATAGCAGAAAGAGAAATCAGGAACACATTTCCATTTACAATTGCATCAAAAAGAATAAAATACCTAAGAACAAACCTAACCAAGGAGGTGAAAGAGTTATACCCTGAAATCTACAAGAAACTCATGAGAGAAATTAAAGAAGTCACAAATAAATGGAAATCTAGCCCATGCTCATGGATAGGAAGAATATTGTCAAAATAGCCATCCTGCCCAAAGCAATTTAGATTCAATACAACCCCTATCAAAATACCAATAGCATTTTCCAATGAACTAAAGCAAATAATCCTAAAATGCATATGGAACCACAAAAGACCCTAAATAACTAAAGCAATTCTGAGAAAGAAGAATAAAGCTGGGGATATTACGCTCCCTGACATCAAACTATACTACAAAGCTACAGTAATCAAAATAATTTGGTACTGGCACAAGAACAGAACAGACCCATAGATCAATGGAACAAAATAGAGAGCCCAGATACAAACCCACACATATATGGTCAATTAATAGATGATAAAGGAGTCATGAATATAAAACAGGACAAAGATAGTCTCTTCAATGACTATTGTTGGGAGAACTGGACAGCTACATTCAAGAGAATGAAATTGTATTACTTCTAATTCCACACACAAAAGTAAACTTGAAATGGATCAAAGACCTAAATGTAAGACATAAAAACCATAAAACTCTTAGAAGAAAACAGGCAAAAATCTTTTGAACATAATAAGCATGAGCAATTTTTTCCTGGACACATCTCGGGACAAGGGAAACAAAAAATGAACAAGAGGGACTACATCAAACTAAAAAGCAGTACAGCAAAGGATACCATCAGCAGAACAAAAAGGCAACCTATAATATGGGAGAATATATTCATAAACAATTTATCCAATAAGGGGTTAATATCCAAAATATAAAAATAGCTCATATGCCTCAACACCAAAAAAACAAATAACCTGATTAAAAAATGGGTGGAGGAACTGAACAGACATTTTTCCAAAGAAGAAATGCAGACGGCCAACAGGCACATGAAGAAAAGATGCTCTCATTGTTAATCATCAGGGAAATGCAAATCAAAACAACAATGAGATATCACCTCACATGTGTCAAAATGGCCACTTTCCAAAAGATAAGAAGTAAGTGCTGGAGAGGATGTGGAGAAAAGGGAACCTTCTATACTGTTGGTGGGAGCGTAAATTGGTGCAACCACTGGGGAAAACAGTATGGAGGTTCTTCAAAAAACTAAAAATAGAAATATCATACAACCTTTTAATTAGCAATCACAATATAGGAATGTCACAAGGAAGGCAGTACAGCACGGAGATGACAAGTAATGACTCTACAGCATCTTACTATGCTGATGGACAGTGCCTGAAATAAGGTGGGGGGAGGACTTGATAATAGGGGGGAATGTTGAAACCACAATACCTTAATTTAAAAAAAAAAGAAATACCATACAACCCAGTATTTACCTGAAGAAAACAAAATCACTGATTTGAGAAGATATATGTATCCCTATGTTTATTGCCACATTATTTCAGCAGCCATGATATGGAAGCAACCAAAGTGTCCATCAGTAGATGAATGGATAAAGAAGATGTGGTACATATACACAATGAAATATTATTCAGCCATAAAAAATGAATTCCTGACATCTGTGACAACATGGATGGACCTAGAGGACATTATGCTCAGTGAAATAAGCCAGGTGGAGAAAGACAAATAGCATATGTTTTCACTTATTT